TTTTATTTTAATATTTCCCCTTAATTTTTTTTCCCCTTAGAAGCACATAAGTGGATGTTTCTTACATGTTCAGATTACATTTTCTGGTGAAAATGATTATGTTGGTCATACTTCCAAAATGTATAATCTGTGATTGTGAATCACACACACACACTCTCCTCAAACATTGTGTTCATCCACGCTGTCGTGCCGGAGCACAACTCGCGAACGACTGCAATTGCCGATTTCGAACAGAGATGGCGATAAAGAGGAAAAACTGCGAACTGCAGCTTTAAGTTTAGTCTACTCAAATATCCCAGCTGTCACTTAGGCCACGTCCACACGAAGCCGGTGCGTTCCCTATCTGTTTTTTTTTCCTCATTCTAAAAAAAAATCTGTAAACACGGCGTCGTCTCAAGAAATATCTGCGTACACACGAAACCACTGAAACCGACTGAAAACGGTGTAGTATATATGCCAGACCAGTTGTAATCACTGTAAAAAAATATTTTGTTATCGCAACATTTTTTCTTTTGTCAAATCAACTTAAATAATTTATTTAGTTCAGTATTTAGTTGAGTTTCTGATGATTAAATCATTCTCTTTCATTGTATTTAACTCATTTTTTTCCAGTTCAATCAACTTAAAATTTTAAGGCAACCAGGTTACTTACTTTTTTAAGTTAAAACAACAATATTATTTTACAGTGCACAGAGATACACTATACAGGGAGAAGAAGACTTTGAGCATGCGCGCTGTATACGAACCAAGAAGAAGAAGACGAAGATGACGTGTGACGCAGCCGACACGTGATGTGATGACATCATCGTTTCACAAAATATACGGATTGGCTGCACACACGAAACCGCAAGGGTGTCGTTTTTTAAGATTTTTCCACTTTGGGACCCGGTTTCAAAAAATGGCGGATTCACTCTCCCAAAACGCCGGATCCGTGTGGACGAAACGCCAATTACGATAAAAAATGTATCGCGTCTTCATGTGGACGGGTTCTTAATACAACTACACCTTTCAAGTTGACTAAACTCTACATTTTTAAGGCAACACAAACACTTGCTACTTGTTTTTTTAAGTTGAAACAACTTTTTTTAGTGAAAGCAATTCCACAGTATTTATATTGTAGAATCACAGCAGATTTTAGCAGTTTTTATTTTACCGTTATTTCGCAATTTTTTTTTTTTTTTACAGTGTAGGCTATGCAAACATGCGCAGCAACTGTAATAGCATGAGAGGAGCTAAAGCACACAGTAAGGGTGAGAAACGGTCTGTTTTGGGAGCACATTGCTCTCCTCACACAGTAGTAACCATGACAATGCAAATTTCAACCTCTAAACCAACACTTTACCTCAAAGCACCAATAAAAAGTTGGTCCAGAGCTGAAATAGACATGGTCATTGTTGTATGGGAACATTGAGCTGATACGACCTGAAATATGTGGGTCGTCCGATCTGAGAGAAGACCGAGGCAAAACAAATCCTGCTTTCCCAAAACTCTGCTTTCAATGAGCCGGTCTGATAGACGACTTATACACGTGACCCTCTTTCCATTCATGAGTTGCCTAAAATAGCAAGAGGTTGTGTGAAAGCCTGTGTATAAACGACACCGGACCCTTTAACGAGAGATCTAACCTGCCTCGGCCATCAGAGCCGGCTTGCACAAAGATAAAAGATGTCAGATACAATTGCCCAAAACACGGCCATGACATCACTCGTGCACAAGAGCTTTTCCCAAGGCAATGGCGGGGTAAAGTGGGGCAAACTCACACACTGAACCAACACACTCTGAAGCAGCCTTTGGAGCAATGATGTCAACCCTTTCCCATAGAGATCGGCTCTTGAGAGAGGAAAGTTAATGAGCCTCGCATCACAAGTTCGGCCTTTAGACACGTCAGTCTGTCAGAGGAGCTGAATTGATTTGGCTGTGTTTGCTTTCCTATAGCTTTTGAGGCCTTGTGAACGGCAACACGGATGACTTGGGCACTGGGTCAACTTACCCACACAAGGTTTATGGGGCAACGCAACATGGTAGATTGACTGAACGTTTAAAGTAAGCTCTGATTGAACTGAGCCTGCATGTGTGCACAAAGCTTGTGTGTGTGTGTGTGTGTGTGTGCGCGCGGACTTGCGTGTGTGTCATGCCCCCTGCTGACTGCTGCCGTTATTACACTAACAACATAATAGCTGTTGAACAAACTTGCTTTAAGGGAAACTTTTTTTCATCAAATTAAATAAAGAATTTCCGACAAAATCGAATTAGTTTCAAAAGTTAGGTTGTAATAAACTTAAAATCATTTAGTCTTGAAATTTCTTAAAGTTTTGCAATTCCTCATAACAAAATGTTGGGTAACACTATGTATTAACTAACAATGAGCAAAACATTTATTTATTCATCTTTGTTAATGTTAATAAAAATCCAGCTGTTCATTGTTTGTTCATGTTCACAGTGCATTAATAATGTTAACAAATACAACCATTGATTTTAATAATGTATTAGTAAATGCTAAGATTAGTAAATGATGAAAAGAAGCATTGTTCACTGTAAAAAAATATTGAAAAAAGTAAGTAACCTGGTTGCCTTAAAATTTTAAGTTCATTGAACTGGAAAAAGTGAGTTAATACAATGAAGGAGATTAATTTAACCATCAGAAACTCAAAATTATATGTTATCTGAACTAAATAAATTATTTAAGTTGATTTAGCAAAAGAAAAAATGTTGTGATTACTACACTGTAAAAAAAAATTGTTGGTTTAACTTAAAAAAGTAAGTAACCTGCGGTTGCCTTAAAATTTTAAGTTGATTTAACTGGGAAAAAGTGAGTTAATACAATGGAGGAGATTAATTTGACCATCAGAAACTCAAAATAATAAGTTATCTCAACTAAATAAAATTATTATAAAGTTGATTTGACAAAAGAAAATATGTTGTGATAACAAATCTTGAAAATATTTTTTACAGTGTTCATCATTAACTACCTAATTGTAAAGTGTTACCAAATTTTGTCCTGCCTGATAAAATTGCCAGCCTTATAATTTAATCTATCTTGACTTACTTCCAAACATGACAGTGAAATACTTTTGTTCAATTAAATTAAAACCACTTTTGAAACAATAAATACTATAGCTCCAAGTGTGAGGTTTAATGCATACTGAGTGCCTAAACACACTCACCATTCTTCATGGTTACCACATTGTTACAAAATGTTAAAAATCGTGTTATTTTAGCTTATTTTAATTAATTTAATTGATCAAGAGGCACAAATTCATTTTTAAATGTGTACAGGCCTCAGGATTTAACTTTGGGACTGGATTCAAACAAGTTAAGCTGGACTATGACACTATTTTCTTCTAGATCTGCTACAGCCAAAAAAATAAAAAATATATTTCTCTATTTACTGCTTTAAACAATCTGTAATGTAAAGACTATAATTATTAAAAATAAATCAAATGTTAAAATCCAGTTCACCAAGTCAAAGACATTTAATCAAATCTACAAATTCTAAATCTCTCTGGCCTCGTAAAAGTAACAAAACTGCTGAATTTGCTGAGAAAGAAATTAAATTAAAGTTAAAAAAAGTTAAATTAAAAAAAAATATTAAAGCACTGAGATTGGACAAGTTTGCAAATAATGTTTGAGTTTGTGTGAATGTCTGTAGGGTCATTATCATTATTTGCAAATAAAACAAACACTGAAATAAAATAGAATGGAAAAAAAAAGGTTCAACCTAAATTCACCTGTTATAAATGTTAAGACAAGATTTTAAGTTGGCATAGCTTTAACACAAGCCGACATAAGGTTTGTCTTTTTAACTTTTCAATCTATTAAATCGAATGCTTTTTCACACTGGTAGATCTGCTCCAGTTTCTGATTTGTGGAGAAATAGAAAGAGAAATCCAAAATCTCCTCTGTAAAAACCTTTAACTTTGTCAAGGAAACAAGAATTTCACCTGGCTTTATCCAATGTTTATATCTCTGTTCTGGAAATTCATGCAAATTAAGTGCAGATTTGATTAGGCAACACCTCATATTCTGCTTATTTAAATAATTTCAGAAAATTTGCTTTACAGAATGATTGTCATAGTGTAGGCTATAGTCAAGTCACTTTTATTTAGATAGAGCTTTAAACAATAAAGATTGTTCCAAAGCAGTGTTACAGTGATAAATAGGAAAATAACAATTTAATGATTGCAAAGCAGATCTAAAAACACAAACAGTCACCATTATGTTGAAGTCAGTTAATTGTTGATTAATTCCATTTCAGTAACTGTAATGAATACAATTTGGATATTGAAACTCGATCTGCAGAAAACAGTGATGTCATCATCCAGCTAAGATGAGTTCCGGCACATCAACAATATTGCTGAATAAAGGGATAGTTCACCCAAAAATGAAAAATTGTGGTTTAGCCTATACTATACCAACCCAACCCCTGTGTGAATCGGCTGAACACAAAAGATAAATGGGTAACCAGTTGATGGACCAAATTGACTTCCATTGTTTTAATTCCATAAGTCAAAAGGGCCCATCAGCTGATATAAACAAATGGGCAAGTAAGTTAATATATATTATTTAAATGTTTATTTCATTCCCATATAGTATCTCGCTTTAATTCAAACATAGACGGTGTATGGGAATGCAGTGCAAATAGTTCCCGCCTAAACTGTGTTGTTTGCACCCACACCCCTTTGAACGCGGCCATATTTAATCTACCGCAATTTGATCTACAGTGCTGCTCGCGCAATCATATACAGCGGAAGAAGACAAAGAGCAGTACATTATCAGAGTACACAAACACTGTTAGAATTTGAAAAGAAAACCCGATATAGAATACTAAACATTCTTGTTTTTCTATATCTGATATATAACGTTAATTTGTCGATATATGCTTTTATATGAGTTCTGAAGGAATCGTGCGCTATGGTTCTACTTTTTTTAACATCCACGCCCCTCCTCCTCGAAAAAGAAGTTCCGGTCACATCCGCCATTTCGCTGGAGTGGAGAGTGGAAAGCCATTGTTAGCTAAAAAATTCCGCCATGGTGAAAGTATCGAACATAAATTCGCGTGTTTAACTAGCCAACTATATTTGAGCTCTTAGACTCATAGATATATATTGTTTGAACAAGTACCGTCGAGAAAAACGATCCGTGCGCGTCAGATTCCGTGAATTTGTCCGCGTTCTCCTGTAGTGTGTTAGCCTAGCAGCAGCAAGACCGCAGGCTGTTTACCGGAGATTTACTCGCCATAATATCTGAATCTGGTTTTAAACATATTAAGTAAATTCGAAACCTTTATATTTTACATCTCATATTAAACCGCGACACTGTCCGCCGCCTCGCAGGATTCGGTGAAGAGTGAAGGAGAGATGGCGAGCTCGGTGGGGAACGTGGCTGATAGCACAGGTAACCATGACAATAACGGTAGTTTTGGCTTTGGTTGATTATAATCTCCCGCTTTTATTAATTTGAAAACTGTCTTATTTGTGGCAGGTTTAATAACTTTGTAATACTGACCTCTTTGCATGCGTGTCATGATTAAACTGTCAAGTAGTTTGTCCTGGTAGATTTATGTGCATATATTAATGGTAGTTATGAACTATTTCCGCAACACTAGTGACATTTATGTAGTAATAACTAACCTGGTTACGGTGGTGTGACTTTCTTCCATCTGATCTGCTGTTACTGTTTACTTAATGGACGGCTGTTTGTAATATGATCATTTGTTCACTCATAACATCTGATAATAGTAGTCGATAACCAGTAGTGTGTGTGTGTCAGGATTGTGCCATTAGTAATTGAAAAAGACTTTTCCTAAATTTAAACCGAGGTTAGAAAATAGGGCCCGAATTGCATTATGGAAATGGGAGTAAGTTAGCCTTCTGAGAAAGTAAAGTAGGCCTATTTATATATATAAAACTGTTTATAAAACATTAAAATAGTAATATTCAGTGTTTAAATGGCTAATTTCGGTTCCTCTTGTGTATAATTGTATTGTAACTTATTCATTTTATGAGCTATGGATACCTCGTTTCCCAGAATGCTTATGATATCTTACCAAAGAATAACTTGCACCAAAATAAGATCATGTCTTTGTTTTGTTTTGCTTTTTGGATTAACGAAATTCCTCAGTTTTGTGATTGTGTTGTGAAATTATTATAAACCGCAAGAAAATCACTCTTTCTGTCCCTCTTTACACTAACAAAATGAAATGAAGCCAATTTTACCCAACCAATGTTGTCCTTTTCAGGTTCTTAATATCATTTCCTACTCCTTCATACCAGTCCTCATCTCCATTTCATTTCCATCTCTATTCATTCCTTTTAATCCTTTACATCTGAGTTTAACTTTTAGTTAAATTATTATCAATTTTGAAACGTTAAAATCATTAACGACTCATTTAGATCATTAGTTGCCGACTTTCTTTGGTCAATTTTTTTAATTATATATTTTTTGATGTCTGCATCAGAAGTGCTATCATCATTACTGGTACCATCAATGCTAGTTTTAGAAAATTTGCACTTTTATGGTTGTTGTTGTTAAAAACAGCATAAAAATGGTGCTGGGCAACAATTAGCCTTATCACATCCTAAATAAAAGTTTGTTTATGTAATATATGTGTGAGTACAATTTTATATACACACATATGCATGTATATTTTTAAGAAATATTTGCATTGTGTATAAATAATTTATATATTAATATATAATATAAATTATTATTTATAACCATTTTTCTTAAAAGCATGCATGTGTGTATTTTATATTCATACACACACACCAATTTTATTTTGGATGCGATTAATCTTTCTGAACAGCACAACTGTTCTTTTTTATTATTATTATTTTTATTATTTGACCTCATTTTCATTTCTTCTAACATGTTGTTTCCCCCTCCTCTGGGTTGTGTTGGTGCTCCAGAACCAACCAAACGTTTGCTTTCCTTCCAAGGGTTGGCAGAGCTGGCGCACCGGGAGTATCAGTCGGGGGACTTCGAGGCGGCCGAGCGCCACTGCATGCAGTTGTGGAGGCAGGAGCCCGATAACACCGGCGTTCTGCTGCTGCTCTCCTCCATACACTTCCAGTGTCGCAGGCTTGACAGGTGAGATGGGCGTCTGGCACGCGTCACGGTGGAGGTGTGGTGTTGATTGGGTTTTAATCAATGCCTTAATGCCTCAAAGGGGTCATGAATTGAGAAATCAAATCGATCGATCATTATCACTTCAAAGCGTCATCAGCCTCGCGGTTGCCTCAAGGGATCTGTCCATAATTTTGTTAATGCTGTGAAAATCAATTTTATGTGGTGTTTTTAATATGCTTTTAGACAAACCATGTGTAAGTTGATAAGTGGACAGCATTGCTGAGTATTTCCTCCTTAAAACTGCAGTGAACCAAAGACACGCTTTGAAATCGCTGGTGTTTCTGACGTCACAAACGACCTTGTAACCAATCAGATCAACGTGTGACTGTCAACTAGTGGAGTGAATGAGTGGAGGCGGGGCTCATTTGCATATTCATAGAACTCCACATACTAAATGAGGCAAGGGTGTCGAGTTACATTCAAGATATTTTAAGGCATGAAGACAATATTTTTCAAGGTTTAAATTAGGGCTGGGCGATATGGCCAAAAAATCATATCTCGATATTTTTTGGTCAAATGGCGATATACGATATATATCTCGGTACTTTCTACGTTTTCTATTTAGATAAAGAAAATCTTTATATTTAAAAAAAATATATATATATATATATATATATATATATTCACATTCGGCCCAATGATATCCTACGAACAATGTTGCTATTGAAGGATATGGAAACAAATATAATATAGGCTATGCAATATATTATGTGCAAAAAGCTTTTGTTTTTATATTGACTAAAGGCTAAACTAAAAATGAAAATAAAAACAAAAGCACAAACTATTATATTAGCCTGCATTTGATTACCCCATTATAATTACTTTCACTTTCATTAAAAATATATACTTGTAGGTTTAAAATTCCACATATGGCACATTTATTTTCTCCAACAAAAAATATTTTAGCAATATGTTTATTTTAGTCAGAATTATTGCGTACTACGTAGTACTATTCACGCGCATGCGCGCGCCGGCGCTCGTTCAAGGAAGCATGAATTTTAGCGGAGATTCACTTGCAGAAACTCGTCCTCTTCTGACATGGACATATTTGTTGTGAAATGGACATATTTGCTTTACTTTCTAACATTTACAGATGGAGAATATACCTGTGAAATGTAAGTTGAGCACTGAGGAAAGCACCACATCTCAAACGCATTAAACACCGCAAGTATATCTGTCAGTCAGCAACAGTGTCTGTCAGAGCATTTGACAGGGCGGCAAGCTGCCTTAAACTTGTTAACTATATCAAAGTGATTTTGACGCAATTAATATAAGCTTGTCATGTTTAGGACAAATTGTACTACGTAGCCTAGCTACTTTCACTGCAGCAGCTCACACTGCAAACTCCGCTATTTTTCAGATGTGCTCATATCAAACTACTGTATCGATATAAACGGTATTGCCTCATTCCATATCGTTTCAAAAAATATAACGATACATCGTACAAACTCGATATATCGCCCAGCTCTAGTTTAAATATGTCATTTTGGTAGGGTGTGCCATATCATAGCGTCCATAGCACCGGTATACATTTTTACATGATAAAAAAGTGTCATATTGCGATATCAATGATATGATGACGTGTGGTGCTTTTATTTTCCCTAGCGCACACCACAACACCACCTGTCTGAGAGTAAACGTGATGATACACAGGGCAACTTTTGTAAAATATTTTTGGACTTTGTTGCCATCAATGGGCAACCAGATGAGACACAGGGCCCACGGCCGATCTTAATTATCCAGATAGAAATGTTTTGCCCATTTGTAATGGGAAAGTGCCCAAGCAACAATCGCTCGGCACAATTGCCCAGCAACATTGCTCAAAAAGTTGCCCTGTGTATCATCACTTTAAGAGCTGCATATCAGCCTCTGATGACAATTTAGTACCTAAAAAGGAGCTACTTCAATAGTATGGAAGTGATTTGGTTACGAGAGGTCAGACCGTGAACGATTAATCGAATCGCAATTTGAATTTATTAAAAATTGATTTTGACAGATGCGATGGCAGAGGAGAATCTATACGTGCGTCAGGTTTCTCAACAGGGAGGCCTGTGGCGATAATCAAACAACCGTCTGATCGCGATTATTTGATCTAACCGTGATTGTTTTATGTTTACTGCGCTCTTTTATAGGCCTAGGGCTCAAGGGGAAGTGGACATAAAGAAATAGACGAGCACTAATTAAGTTTTCCCGCTGTATATTCAAAGCCATCTGAAGCCATTCCATAGCTTAATGTGAGGGACAGGTGTCTATTTACTTAATTAAATTAAAGTTCACAGAAACTCGTCTTCTCTCTTCTGCGGCTGGCAATCTTTCTCCATCAGTATTTAAACAGCATGCGCCTCATCCGGTTACGGCAGGATGAAGGGTAAAACTCTCTCCAATATGATATATTCTCATTATAATCCTTGACCTATAGATAAAACGCTGTGGATTTGCATACAATGACTATATTTTTTTTTTTAAACGACTCGAGTCGCTACCGTGTGCCTGTTAATCACACACAGCACAAGGACTATGAAGTAGCATCAAACGTGCTTTAAGCACATGATTCTGCGCCTGTGATGCGCATGCGTGCTCTGTTTCAAAGCGTTTCATATTATCACGGTTTTGTGCACTGAAAGATTATTAAAAGCCTATTTTTTTTTTGTCGTATCTATCATATCCTGTTGCCCCATTAAAAAACTGCACAATACATTTAAAATAAGCATCATTTGTATATTATTTGTGTAGTGTATATAAATATATACATTTCTGATATCATTACATTCATACATATAAAATTGTTAAATGTATGAATACCTGAATGAATTTTGTAAAAGTTTTTATTAACATGTTTAGATTTGATAAAATTACTGTGCATATTTTTTTAAGAATTAATTTTTGCTGCTGATTTATACACTTACTAAGTTTAATAAAAAATTGTCATAGCTATTGAATACAGTTATTTATTATTTAAAGGTGTTAACTGTGATCTTACACTGCAAAATGATAACTTGAAAATGATTAAATTCATCACAATTATTTAATGAATGAAGCACACAAATAAATGAATGACAAACCCTAAATCTGCATAACCGCAATTATTTTATAGACAATTAAACATCCAAAATGTCATAATCGTGACAATAGGATACAATACGTGTGTCCTTGCTCATTAGGGTTGAGATGTCCTACAGGATTGGCTGATTTCTGTCGGTTTCGATTTCTGTCTGTCAGAAGTTGTAAACTATTTTTCTAAAAGAAAAACTAGAATCCCATCATTACTAGGGCTGCAACTAACAGCTATTTTGATCATCTGTTGAATTAAATGTTTTAATCCAAAATGTTTAATTATTCAAATAAATGAATTTCAATCCATTATTGAAAAAAAATGTTATTACACATCCCGACCAATGTTGTTCTCCAAACAATGCTTTTCAATAACAATAACTTTGCTTTTCAGCCTGACTGATAAAGTTCACACATTATTTAAAACAGGTGAGTAATAAAATAAGAACAAATACACACATGTGCAAAGTCTAACAGTCGTATTTTGGGCACAGAAATGAATAATTAAGCCTAAATGTAAACGCTATTTGAATTGAATGGTTTCATATTAGTTAAAAGTTGTTGTTTTATTAACATTAATGGCAGACAGCAGGAATATTAGGCTGCTGTCACTTTAAGAGCGAATAAACCAACAGATCCGGTCCGTTCTCAACTGTTCACTTATGACATAACCGAGAGAATACTTGCCAAGACGGGTGTTTAGACGGGTATTTTGTGTGTATTTGTCTCTTCAAGGGTAAGGAAACGCCACAGAGGGTTCAATTCGGTGGTCGAGCGCTGTCTGAAACGTGTCGCTATCTCTCTTCCTTTCTCTGTGAGTGTGTGTGGCTGTGCGTACAGAACGCGCGAGTCACGTTTTTCACCGCTTCTTCAGTTAAATTGACGAGACATAACACGCCCAAACTATAAACTTTCACTCTATGATGGTTGAATTTAGCAGTTAATCCGCGAATCACGTGCGTGCCGAACCGAGGGCCGACTGGTCCGTACGGATCAACTGCGATCCGCTCCACCCCTAGTACTTTTATTATCAATGTTGCAGCCCTAATAATTATGACAATTCAAACTCGTTGTTTTTTCTTTTACGGTTCGGTTTTCCCACGGTTTTGACGTCTCGGTTCGGTTTAGAAAGCTAAAATGGCTTTTTTTTAAACAGTGGTTTAATGAAAAAAAAGGTCTTTGTCTTTAAATTAATTCAATTACAATTAAACATTTTAGAAGGATTAAAAGCAAAATCTTCTAATGCTGTAAACTGTATAGGGAGCCGCACATTACTATAACATTAAAGGTTGTAGCCTAGACTTTTAACCTAAATTTATTTTTTAGATATAATAATCAGCACACAACACATTGTATGAAAACATGTAAACTGAACATAAGGCAGTTTTTGCATTAACTTGTGTTTTTACTCTAATTTGTTATTGAAATATAATTTGCACAGTTGTCATTTTCATGAAAGATATTTTAAACATACATTAAATAATCAAGATATCATTAACAGGTTAAGTAAAATATATTATACAGGCTACATTTATAGGAACCAAAGTTGTGGACACTGAATCACTTGCTTTCTGAGGTAAATATAATGCTAGTGACAAGCTATGCTGTTTTATTGACGTCTTTCCGCTGCTGAAACACTGATTGAGCGATTACACGAGTTATGATGCCTTTCTGTAAGTATCCTGTATCTTTCAACATACCTTCAGGTGTCCATTCTGTGACTAGGGTTGGGTATCGTTTGAATTTGAACGATTCCGATTCCTTGTTTCGATTCCGGTTCCTAACGATTCTCGATTGCGATTCTTTTAAGAGGCGGGGTCAAAAAAGTTTAGCTAACCTTGCTAACCAATGGTCTTTCTGAAGGAAATAATCCTTTCTGAAGGAAATACTCCTTTTGTCACAAATTTTGCCGAGATTTCGTTATTTTTAGAAAAGTGAAGCCACACTTTGGACCACCGACGTAAGGTACTCATGTTCGACTCGCGCGGTTATGCCAACGCTTCCGGTAGACGCTTCTTCTTTGGTGGTGTTCAGTGGTTTCTTCTTCCGCTCGGCGGACTGTGAATATCGAAACTACGAATCGAAATTTTAACTTTTGAACGATTCCGGGAAAAATTAAAAGTTAGTCCCGGTTACTCGATTCTCGATACCCAACCCTATCTGTGACTGAGGAAGAGATGATCGCGTTTACTCGCGCGCTGCGCTGCCGCTTGACATAAGGATCCTAGTAAGCGTTCTGTCACGCCACATCAAAGAGCGCCAAAACGGCATTTATTGTTTGAATTTCGTGATCAAATAGACAGTTTTTGAAAGATTACAACTTGCTTATTATCGAAAGTAACAAAACACAGAGCTTGTTATTTGGTGTTAATGGTGGTTAGGCTACAAAACTGAATTCATTGTGTACTGTTTACATAAGACATGAGGTCCATTGAGCCGGACTGGGCGGGGCCGGGGTAGCAGGGGGCGGTACGCAATGACAGTATCGCGATTCGAATCATGAGTTCAGTATCGCGGTTTTTTCGGGTCGGTTCGAAAATCGTTACACCCCTAGTCGAGTCTTGTCCTCCTAATATTGGCTGTGTCTGCAGGTCGGCCCACTTCAGCACGCTGGCCATCAAGCAGAACCCCATGCTGGCCGAGGCTTACTCTAACCTGGGCAATGTGTACAAGGAGCGGGGTCAACTACAGGAGGCCATCGAGCACTACCGCCACGCGCTCCGCCTCAAGCCGGACTTCATCGACGGATACATCAACCTGGCAGCTGCGCTGGTGGCAGCCGGAGACATGGAGGGAGCCGTTCAAGCTTACGTCTCCGCTCTCCAGTACAACCCTGTGAGTCCTGCCTGACATCTAACAGCCATTTAATGATCAACAGTATTATTGATCTCCTGCATTCACACCATTATATGAGAGCTGAGCTGGGCGATGACACCACGGTTTTCTCTAGACTGGCTATATATATATATCTAATTAATTAGAGGCTTTGTAATTAATTAATCGAAATTATTCGCATTTTAATTGCGTAATTTGAACTGAGAACAGTGAAGATTTTTTTTTTCACATGGATTTTTAGTAAACCATTGAATAATGACTGAATACATAAGCTTAAGCAACAAAATATTGTTCAACCAAGTCTAGCAGACCAGTGCAATTGTATATGTTTTGCGTTGAGGTCAAACTTGAGGGTCAACGTGATATGCGAATTCCTTGTTGCATAGCTTGCACACACCATGCCCTTAATGACGCTTCCATCCGTTCGTTTTTATAACAAAATTTCCCATCCACAGGCCCAACTAAAGCGGTCTCTTCAGCTTCTTCGTTCATGTTCACTGTGGTTTGTTGTTTAGTTGTCTGAAGCGTAGACTGTAAAAAAAGTCATGAACTCTAGTTGGTGCTCCAGTATAATCAGCCCGCCGAAACCAATCCAGTGAGAAATGTTCCGCGGTGCAAAAACAAGTGTGATTAAAATGCGTAAATTTTTTTGTGTGTAACTAATTAATGCATCAAAGTTTGCAATTAATTAATCTAAATTAATGCGTTAAAGTCCCGGATATATATATATATATATATATATATATATATATATATATTAGGGCTGTGCAAAAATTAATTGCGATTAATCGCATCCAAAATAAAAGTCTGTGTTTACATAATATATTTGTGTGTGCTGTATATAATTAATTTGTGTATATAAATACACACACATGCATGTATATATTTAAGAAAATGTGTTATTCATATATAAAATATTTATATAATATAGATTATGTATTTATATATATATATATATATATACACAGAATTTAAATGCAAATAATTCTTAAATGTATACAAGCATGCATAGGTATTTATATATACAAAATAATTATATACAGCACACACAAATATATTATGTAAACACAGACTTATTTTGGATGCGATTAATCGCAATTAAATTTTGCACAGCCCTAATATATATATATATATATATATATATATATATACACTCACCGGCCACTTTATTAGGTACACCTGTCCAACTGCTCGTTAACACTTAATTTCTAAGCAGCCAATCACATGGCGGCAACTCAGTGCATTTAGGCATGTAGACATGGTCAAGACAATCTCCTGCAGTTCAAACCGAGCATCAGTATGGGGAAGAAAGGTGATTTGAGTGACTTTGAACGTGGCATGATTGTTGGTGCCAGAAGGGCTGGTCTGAGTATTTCAGAAACTGCTAATCTACTGGGATTTTTACGCACAACCATCTCTAGGGTTTACAGAGAATGGTCCGAAAAAGAAAAAACATCCAGTGAGCGGCAGTTCTGTGGGCGGAAATGCCTTGTTGATGCCAGAGGTCAGAGGAGAATGGCCAGACTGGTTCGAGCTGATAGAAGGGCAACAGTGACTCAAATAACCACCCGTTACAACCAAGGTGGGCAGAAGAGCATCTCTGAACGCACAGTACGTCGAACTTTGAGGCAGATGGGCTACAGCAGCAGAAGACCACACCGGGTGCCACTCCTTTCAGCTAAGAACAGGAAACTGAGGCTACAATTTGCACAAGCTCATCGAAATTGGACCATAGAAGATTGGAAAAACGTTGCCTGGTCTGATGAGTCTCGATTTCTGCTGCGACATTCGGATGGTAGGGTCAGAATTTGGCGTCTACAACATGAAAGCATGGATCCATCCTGCCTTGTATCAACGGTTCAGGCTGGTGGTGGTGGTGTCATGGTGTGGGGAATATTTTCTTGGCACTCTTTGGGCCCCTTGGTACCAATTGAGCATCGTTGCAATGCCACAGCCTACCTGAGTATTGTTGCTGACCATGTCCATCCCTTTATGACCACAATGTACCCAACTTCTGATGGCTACTTTCAGCAGGATAATGCGCCATGTCATAAAGCTGGAATCATCTCAGACTGGTTTCTTGAACATGACAATGAGTTCGCTGTACTCAAATGGCCTCCACAGTCACCAGATCTCAATCCAATAGAGCATCTTTGGGATGTGGTGGAACGGGAGATTCGCATCATGGATGTGCAGCCGACAAATCTGCGGCAACTGTGTGAGGCCATCATGTCAATATGGACCAAACTCCCTGAGGAATGCTTCCAGCACCTTGTTGAATCTATGCCACGAAGAATTGAGGCAGTTCTGAAGGCAAAAGGGGGTCCAACCCGTTACTAGCATGGGGTACCTAATAAAGTGGCCGGTGAGTGTATATATAAATAAATGAATGAACTAAATTAATTACTTTTTTACAACAAAATGAAACATCACTGAACTTACTTAAGCTGGACTGTGACGCGATTTTCCTTTGGAAACAGACTTTGTTGCTTTATTTTCCTGTTATCTCCTGTAGTGTAAAAAGCGCTAAATAAATGTGACTTGACTTCAGACTGGGATTCAGCTAGAAATGATCATTTTTCCCTCTGTTTTCTTTTTTTTGCAGGATCTATATTGTGTTCGCAGTGACTTGGGTAACCTGCTGAAGGCGCTCGGGCGTCTTGAAGAGGCAAAGGTATGTCTAAATAGGTCGGCCCTTGCACGTTTACATAATGATTTCTTTTGATTCTTTAGTATAAACTCATAGCTCTAGACCATAATCCCCTGTCAGACACCTAGCCATTCTTGTACTTTGGGAGTGAGTGTTGAGCTTCTTCCCCCGTCCCCAGTAAGTGCTTGTCGGCACACTTAAGAGCGTGCTGCTCATGTCATATCCCCATGTCAGCACTCTTTACAGCCTCAGTAGAGCAGCAGAGTGAACCAAAGCCACCTGCATCTCACCAAACTAGTCAAAAACAATCTCTTTTTGTTATTAAACAAGGTTAAGACCCCTTTACCCCCTTCTCACTTGCCTTTTTGTTTTGTTCTGTTCCTCATTTTGGATGGCTAGATTAGAGACACGCCCCCTCTGTCCACCCCTCTCTCACTCCAACGCTTCTCTCAGTCTGAACACTTCTTCATCCTGGCCCCGGCCAGCCCTCGCTCACCCCCACACAAAGGAAGAAAGGCTGGGCTATTCTGTGTCTTACCAAACGGGTGCTCCTAAAACACATGCTGCAGTTTTGGCATGCTTTTTCTTCTTCCCTGTAGTCTCTCGGAGGGATTTCACTGGCTCGGTCTTTGGGGGGCAAATAAATGGACTGATGAAGGTAGTGGTATTTGCTGTGCAAAAAATAAGATGGCTTCTAACCCGTAACCATGCGATTCTGCTAATCTAGCGTATTCAAAAGCATCAATCGCCTTGGATTTGGATGCGTTTCTAGTAAACGTCTGCTTAATGATTCCGGTGGGTCTTTGGGGGTTTAACACGATGTTTTAGAGAGAGTTCTCCTTCTGATGGTTTGAAGCCCTCTTATTTGGTGCCCAGGGGTGCGGAGTGGGGAAGAGTACGAGGGCGCCAGCGGCCCCCCAATTGCTCTGTCGCTCCCAACCCCGCGCGCTCGCTTAGGGCCCGTGGAGTGTGCGCGCTTCGAACTGTCTGCCTGACCCCTCAGTCGAGCCAAAAGCTGCTTCTCAAGGGCCTCACGGTGAAATTTGAATCTTTCGGCCTGTTTTCCCTCACATCCCCCTGCTTTTCCCCGTTAAAAATGTGGTTCACGTGTTCCCAACGCCGTGCATCAGCCCTGGGCTGTGCCAGGCAGACAGATCGCTATTTGCACTCCACTGCACGCGTCAGACACCATGATAGAGAGAGAGAATTACCCACGCGCGACACAAGCGTTGACCTCTTTATTTCAGAGCTGTGGAGGCTTCTAGATGAGTATGAAGGCTTTTTATCCATTGGCCAGGAGTCAAGAAAGCAGGAAAGGATAAAGGTATTAAACCATGTAAACAAAGAAAACAGAAAAGGACACGTATCTTGGATTACATTTCTTCCCCCTTGTATGTTCTGATTTATTAATAACATTCCCAGAGCAATGTGATCAGTTCATTTGGGTAAGATCAAGCCAGTTCGCCTTCCTCCTCTACCTGTATTTGACAATGTGGATCGCTCATGAGAAGTTTGAGTCTGTGTGTGAATCTCAACTCAAAGCCTTTCTTCACTCCCCTTCGAACATATTCCTGTTTGTAAGAAATGTAAAACCCTTTCCATTGCATGGGTTTAAACTGATGTTAGGTCAGCATTTTTGTATTTCTTTTTCTCCTTTTACTTGTTTTGCTTTGTCAATACAAGTTTTGATATCGATATGAAATGTCAAACTTTTACTAACGCTCTTGTTTTCTTATTTTGTCTCTTTTGGTTTTCCACCACTGATATTGTTATTTAGAAGGTTTCAGGTGGGTGACAGTATTCCTGCGTAGGTGCGGTCCGGTGGACAGGAACACTAGGACTGTCAGTCTTCTCCTCTTCCAGCTGTGGCCGCCCCCCCCAGACAAAGTCCAAAAATATGGTAACGGGTTTGTAACAAAACAGAAAGAAAAACACCTTTCTCCAATGCCTGAGTTCTTCTGTCTTGTGGCTTCCTTTGAAGAAGAACCAAACCAAACCAAACCGTAGTATTGGTAACAAAACCCAAGTTTTATTAGCAAAGCCAAATGATTGGATGCTGTATGCAAAAACAAAAAGCACAGTAAGAACCCTCTAACTCTCTTACTTGTTGATATTTTTTTCCTGTTCATTTTTGGATTATGATTTATTTTTTCTCCTTTATTTGGAGTTGCAGATGACGCGCTGTGAGTCTGCAGCGGCGCAAGGGCTGCGCAGCGACAAAACCGCGACCAAAACGCGCGCGCGCCTGAACCGCACTCTCCCCTTCCCTCGACCCCCGGCTCTCGGGTTGCAGATCTGCGCGCCCTTTTCCTGCTAGCATGGCACCCAGTGGCTACACAGCCCTAAACATGACTCTATTGGCACAGTGCTAACTCTCAGACGAACATCTCCTGTAGGGTTTTAGCGGATTTGGCCGTGGGAAGCGAACTCGAGTCGAAGGGTGGAGAGTTTCATCGTTTCGTGTGCCAGTCTGGTCGGGAGTGGGATCGCTCCAGGTCTGCAGTCTTCACCCTGAGCCGGCGTTAGCGCAGGCGAATGCGGGCGCTAGCGGAAACTGCGCAAGCGGCAATCTCAGTGCGGGTTGCCCGCGTGGCTTTGTGCGCTTGCATTACAGGGACCTCCACCTGCACACCGCACTTGCATTCAAGGTTGTGGGAATTTACTGAGGTCAACGATCCAAAGCCGTCTTCTCGGCACTCGATGTGGTGTTTTTTGCTAGTCGTGTGAAGTTGATTTGACGCTGCATAACTGAAGAATGTAAGTCTGAGTGTAGGTGTTGGTTGGATTTGCGCAGCGTAGGAAAAGTGTGCAGCTTAGCGCGGCAGATTCGGCGCACGCGAGCCCGTGCTGCAGACTCGCTTTTTGCTTTTTGCGAGAACAGATACTAACACTATTTCTGTCTGCCCTTTTTGTTTTTTCTTCCTTTTTTATTTGATCTTTTGGTTTCTTTTCTTTTACAACCCCCTCCCCTGTCTGCTCTCCGTCCTTCTCTCTTCCTCCTGTTTTTCTTCTTTTTTTTTTTTCTTTTCTTTACTGTTAACCTGTTCAAGGCTTGTTACCTGAAAGCAATTGAGACGCAGCCGAACTTCGCCGTGGCCTGGAGTAACCTGGGCTGCGTGTTCAACGCCCAGGGAGAGATCTGGCTGGCTATACATCATTTTGAGAAGGTTGGTTGTGTGTGACAATCACACTATATGTAAATGATATGAACGAACGCAATGATCACATGGGCTGTTCTATGGGTTTACAGGCTGTGACCTTGGACCCAAACTTTTTGGATGCTTACATCAACTTGGGCAACGTTCTGAAAGAGGCTCGTATCTTTGACAGGTACACCGTCACTTCTTCTCTCGCTACACTTCCAGGATTACAGTCAATATTAATGAAAACGTACTTGAATTATTGAAAGCCAAAATGTGAAATTGGTGTTTAATTTCAGGGTTCCAGACTGCGACCATTTTTTGAGAATGTGCAAGTTCAAATTGTATGTGGTCGCACATGATCGCGCAACAGAATATCCGCTGCTGCAGTCCGTAACTTATGTTCAAAATAAACGAGTAGGCTACATCATGAATCCATTTTCCAAACCGTGTTTTTGACTGATCCTGATTCACTACGGTACGCTGATAATAAGTGTTTATATTCGGAGTATTTTATCCCGGGGTCGACTTTTATGCCTGCGTGTCTCGCCATAGACATTAATGGACAGAAGTAGCTCCGGCTACAGTGTTCTTCCGCAAGACACGTGCAGTTTATTTATTGACGAACTTAGACGTCACGTGCAGTGCACACTGATGGTGAACCGCGCCAATTACGAATTCACGAATTAAGGCATATAAAAATGAAAATGTCTGACGAAACAGCGTGCCCCCTTCCTACGTCTTTCCAGCGGTTAGATGAGAGTAATCGCTCGAATAAAATGCAGAAGGGAAGGAGTGTGAGATTTCTGATTTGTGTTACAACTATAAACTTTGATAATGAACAATCTCTATTAGCTTATTATAATACTCTAATCTTTTAAAATGTAATGCATACATGTGAGTGTTTAATGAGTTTTAAAAGATAGAAAGATGATGATAGATAGATAGATGATATATATATATATATATATATATATATTAGTGCTGTCAAACGATTAAAATATTTAATCGCGATTAATCGCATTAATGTCATAGTTAACTCGCGATTAATCGCACATTTTTATCTATTCTAAATGCCTCTTGACTTCTTTTTGTTACATTATTTTTTTTCTCATTTTAATGCTCTTATCAACATGAGAAAAGTGGAAAAATTATTATTGAAAATAACATTGGAATAGTGTTCAATTTCACACTAACATATAACCTATAAATAATCTCTCACACAATGGAACACTCTCTATCAATAAAAGGGTGAAAGAAATACTGACGAGGCCCTAATATTGATGAGGGGCGGAGAATTCGCATCATCTGTGTGTGTGTGTTTGCTTGGCCATCATCAAGTGGTGTTTCAGACCGTGCTGCGATGATGATCGCTCAGTTCACAACGAAAACACACAGATCACTTGGTCTTGTCAATGGGACAATATGGCAACTTTTTATAAGTAAACTTTCCATTCAGAATCTTAGGGCATCCATTTCGGCGTCTCACGCTCGTCATCCACTCAAAAGTAACGTTACTATTTGGCCGGCTCGCAAGCCCAAACGAGTGTGTGCGGCACAAAACATCCTCGCGCTGCGCTCTGAACCCTTTCATTTCAATGGCTTGTGCCACGCGAGGACGTTGTAGGACAAAAAGTCTGTTAATCGCGCGCTAAAAAAATTAACGCTGTTAATAATGCGTTAAACTGACAGCCCTAATATATATAGATAGATATGATAGATAGATATATAGATAGATAATGATTCAAATGTAAATAGATAGATTGTATGTAATTTTAAGCATTTTACATTTGAATTATAGATTAATATTACTGTCCAAAATCCATCAAAATCCTGAAATTTGGCAATGAAAATTGATATATTACAGGTATTTATGCTGCAATCCAGAAAGCCTTTGCTAGCTTTGATCCATTAAAACCACTATTCATCAGCATGCTTTGATTAATCCCATGGCATGTAGCAAAAAAAAAGAAAAAAAGGTGCGACTAAATCAAATGCTGGTGCGACCAACTGAGAAAGTTGGTAGCACCAGTTCAACCAGTGGAGAAGTTAGTCTGGAGCCCTGAATTTGATTGATAAAACAATCTTTTCAACGCTTATATAGATATAGAGCCATTCTGCATGATATTTCTCATAAATATCCGGGTATATGACACAGCTTTAATTTTTCAGGTCAATCATATATTCATGAGAATAAGAAAAGTGATATCTTTGTCATAGTATCCTTTCAATGATTAAAGTTTCCACAGTCATTGCATGTGATGCACTTTATGTGTACCATTTTGTTTTATTGGTATATTTTATACCTTTTGTAGAATTTAAAGGTAATAAAAATATTGTTTGCTTAGTGAGATCTCTGATTGTATTCCTTGAAAACCAAAAAAGTAGTCCTCGAAAGTCCTGGAATTTGGTTTTAACGTTGTCTGATTCATGTCCTGTTTTCTCCACAGAGCTGTTGCAGGTTATCTGCGCGCCCTCAGCCTGAGCCCGAACCATGCTGTCGTTCATGGGAACCTGGCTTGCGTGTACTACGAGCAGGGTTTGATCGACCTGGCCATCGACACCTACCGTCGTGCCATTGAGCTGCAACCACACTTTCCTGATGCGTACTGCAATCTCGCTAATGCACTGAAGGAGAAGGGCAATGTAAGAACCGACATTTATGTGTCACGTATCCCTGATGGGGGTGCAACGGATCACAAAATTCACTGTTATGATCATTTGCGGTTTTTGAGCCACGGATCGCGAAAAGAAAAGTAAAAAAATGTGTTAGGGATGCACTGATACCACTTTTTCCAGAATGAGTACGATACCGATACTTTCATTTTTGTTACTCATCGATACCTGTATTTTCAGTGCATTTGTAATTTTTTAAAGTATTGGTAGAGAAACCAAAATAACATCATATTGGTTTAATTTGTTCATCAAATATATAGTTCCTTCAGTAATTTATAGTATTAAACTAATGTATAATATTTCATGCTTAATTAATCTAAAATGCATTGTATGAGCTTCTGTTCGGTTCACTGTTCACTCTATTGCTCTGTCATATTTTATCTTTCATTTAATAGCACAGCACATTTTTAGAGCCGCTCCAGCAGGGCTCAGTGCTGAGGATTGGGTCAGTGGGTCAAATGTTTAGACACCAGGGAAGTATCAATTCTTTACTCCAATTTTAAAACAACAGAAATTACCAGCCCAATTAATGTGAATTTAAAACCTTATTAAAGACACGTAAGCAGTCAGTAATAAAATAAGCATCCGGACTTGAGTAAAAGTACAAGTGCTCTATCAAAAAAGTGACTGAAGTGCTCTTTAAGCACCACACTTAAGTAGAAGTACTGAAGTATTCAACATTTTTTGTACTTAAGTATTGCAAGTAGTTTATTTTAAAATTCACTACTTAAGTACTAAAAGTAAAAGTACAAGTAATGTGTCATGTAATTATTAAAGAAAGCAGTCAAAAGTTTGAACTAGCAATCAAATAAGGCGCTTTGGCGGGAAAAAAAGTTGCTTTTGGCGCCAAAAAAATGTCATTGCAGGACAACCCCTGCATTAGTTGTCAATGTGTCAATCAATACCATTACCCTATAATACTGGCGTGTGATTTAGGCAGCATGAAAGCCAACTTGCAACGAATCATTCGTAAAATTTTTATAATTGTAACGAGTAACTAGCAGAACATTAAAAAATATCGAAGTAAAAGTATTAAATTTATCAAAAATATCTACTGAAGTAAAAGTAGAAGTATGAGAAAAAAACAATACTTTAGTAGAGTACAGATACAGCATTTTAGTACTTAAGTAGTTCTACTTCGTTACTATACATCTCTGAAAATAATTATAGATAGTCAAATTACAAATAGCACAAAGAGAGGCTACAAATGAAATAGACTGTGTTTAGAGTTTTTCAGGTAAATTTGAATAATGTGAAAAAAACACTGCATAATCATTACTGTATAGATTAAATCTAGATGGATCTTTTTGTACAAAAAATTACGAAAGCGAGCCTATTTAGTCAACAGCAGTGAGTTATTTTGTTTGATTAATATTAAATCACAGCAGCAGGTTTATTAGACCTATATATTTTTGTACACAAACACTGTACACGCTGCCTGGTATCGGTTGTTTGTATCAGAGCATTTTTATGAGTTCAGTATCCGATGCTGAAGCTGAGGTCTCGAATATATTAGATTTATTTATTTATTTAAAAGGGACAATGCATATTGATAAACATTTCAGTAATGCAAATATGTCAGAATTAGCCCCAGGGCTACTTTCCATCTGCAGTCCCCCGTCAGGTCCTCACAAAACAACACATAACAAAACTAACATTTAAGTTTAAATAGAATACTACACAGTTTAAAGAAAACCTTAAAATTCGGTAACGATTACAAAAGACACCACTGTTTTCAGACAAATTACACATATACAGTAAAGTGCTATTCTATGTACTTCAAATGTGTTGCAATTATGCTAAAATACTGGAATTAGAATAAATGCTGGAATTACAATAAATACTAAATCTGGTTTGATATACATACAAATGCTTACACAATACTACAGTGATCTTTATTCATATACCTCGATTTTAAAGAAGAGAAAAAAGAAAAGAAAAATTGTTTAATGGTCACAATTTTGATGTGTCTTGAGTCTAGGGTTGGGTATCGAGAATCGAGTATCGATTGGAACCGAGACTAACTTTTCGTTTTTCCCGGAATCGTTCAAAAGTTAAAATTTCGATTCCTAGTTTCGATATTCACAGTCCGCCGAGCGGAAGAAGAAACCGCTGAACAACACCAACGAAGAAGCGTCTGCCGGAAGTGTTGGCATAACCGCGCGAGTCGAACATGAGTAGCTTACGTCGGCGATCCAAAGTGTGGCTTCGCTTTTCTAAAAATAACGAAATCTCGGCAAAATGCAAAATTTGTGACAGAAGGAGTATTTCCTTCAGAAAGGCCGTTGGTTAGCAAGGTTAGCTAAACTTTTTTGACCCTGCCTCTTAAAAGAATCGGAATCGAGAATCGTTAGGAACCGGAATCGAAACAAGGAATCGGAATCAGAATCGTTCAAATTCAAACGATACCCTACTTGAGTCATTGTTTAAGTTGATTCTTAAATCTGGGAAAAGTCGGACATGAGAGACCTCATTTTGGCTAAGAATCGCTAAAGAGGAATCAGTTTGGTGTTCGAGCGTTGTCTGAAACACTTGAACACAAGCGAATCCGCTTGAACCCAAAATTCTCAAATGTGAACTGATTTTGGTCCAGTACCTTTAAAGTCATCTGCTAACTTGCACATTTCCCGTTAGGTTTCTGAAGCTGAGGAGTGTTACAACACCGCCCTGCGTCTGTGCCCGACTCACGCCGACTCCCTGAACAATCTGGCCAACATCAAGCGTGAGCAAGGCAACATCGAGGATGCTGTGCAGCTCTACAGGAAAGCACTGGAGGTGAGTCCACTCAAAGCACATCTCTTGTTATGTGCGCTTAAAAAGGGATGGATTTTGAATCATGTCTTGTTTTCCTGTGTTGTGAAGGTTTTCCCTGAATTTGCCGCTGCCCATTCAAACCTGGCCAGTGTCCTGCAGCAGCAGGGGAAACTTCAGGAGGCTCTCATGCACTATAAGGAGGCCATCAGGCATGTTCTCCTGTCTAGATATGCTCAAATGCTGTTTAGTATAGAGGCTTTGTGTTGACGTCACTTTCTCAGCCGGACCGAGTGGCAGAAGAGCTGCAGCGTGACTGAATAACACAGTTTAACAAACCATTATCAGTTTAAACTAAAGGTTGACCTCGATATAGTGTTTCTTACAACTTACCAAAGATCCAGTGATCATGGATATGCAGGAATCATGTTTCCTCACGTTTATATGCGCCTGATTTCGACGCCGGGGATTTAAACTTCAAATGGTCTTGTTTACACTTCTGGGCTTCGGGGTCTATACGACCCCAACAATTGATTGAGTAATTGTTCAAAAATATACATTTTTAATCATACAAATAATATATATATATTTTTTGTTTACTTCTCATCTATTCATTATTGAGATATAAAGTACTTTTGTATCCATATACCACACAATTCCTCAACTACACCATTAGCTTGCATATGAAAATTTTTTTTTTTTTAGGATACATTGTATTTATGCTCTAGTACTACGCCTTCATTTCTGTGTAAAAATGTTTATGTAATGACTTTATATCCCGCAATTCTGACTTTATATCTCGCAATTCTGACTTTATATCTCGCAATTCTGACTTTATATCCCGCAATTGTGACTTTATATCTCACAATTCTGACTTTATATCCCGCAATTGTGACTTTATATCTCATAATTCTGACTTTATATCCCGCAATTGTGACTTTATATCTCGCAATTGTGACTTTATATCTCATAATTCTGACTTTATATCCCACAATTGTGACTTTATATCTCATAATTGTGACTTTATATCTCATAATTGTGACTTTATATCTCATAATTGTGACTTTATATCTCGCAATTGTGACTTTATATCTCATAATTCTGACTTTATATCCCACAATTGTGACTTTATATCTCATAATTGTGACTTTATATCCCACAATTGTGACTTTATATCTCATAATTGTGACTTTATATCCCGCAGTTGTGACTTTATATCTCATAATTCTGACTTTATATCCCGCAATTGTGACTTTATATCTTATAATTGTGACTTTATATCCCGCAATTGTGACTTTATATCTCATAATTCTGACTTTATATCCCGCAATTGTGACTTTATATCTCATAATTGTGACTTTATATCCCGCAATTGTGACTTTATATCTCATAATTGTGACTTTATATCCCGCAATTGTGACTTTATATCTCATAATTCTGACTTTATATCCCACAATTGTGACTTTATATCTTATAATTGTGACTTTATATCCCGCAATTGTGACTTTATATCTCATAATTCTGACTTTATATCCCGCAATTGTGACTTTATATCCCGCAATTGTGACTTTATATCTCATAATTCTGACTTTATATCTCGCAATTCTGACTTTATATCTCGCAATTTTGACTTTATATCTCGCAATTCTGACTTTATATCACGCAATTCTGAGAAATAAAAGTCATAATTGTGAGATAAAAAGTCGCAATTACCTTTTTTATTTTCCATTCTGCGGTGGAAACAAGCTTCCATAGTTCCCGGCTTACAGTGGAATCCAAAATGAGCCCAAACGTCGGGTTTTAATTTTGGTGCAGGCTTGAATCAGGCTTGAACGCCTGCTTGAACGGAGTGCAGCTGTTGTCCGTTAAAGCGCGACTTCTACAACGCTGAACGCTCTCACTAGAGTGTAGCCCACAGCGCCGCCACTGGCCTGGATGGCTGAATCGATTCATTGGATTTGATGAATCGATATTGAATTGAGAAGCAAAAAATTGCAATGCATTGGTGAATCGATATTTTTACCCAGCCCTAGTGGATAGAGTATGATTTTACCCCTAAATTCAGCATATTGACAAAAAAAAAATGATAACTGCAAATTCTCTTCCTGGATCCAGTTTCTATGAGTTACAGCGAACCATTTGCATCTCTGTTCTGTAGCTTTCGGCAGTCTGTAAATGTATATACCTCAGATTTCTTGTCAAATCTAGTTGTGCAGTCTACCTCAAAGCTCTTTCCCATTTTCAAAGTGTTTTTCGCTGCATTCACGCTGAAAACAAATGCTGCCACTCGGTGTGTGTAACCAGCCGACGGTGACGTCACACGCATACCCTCTACTAGTGTCTTTCGAAGTCTCACTCTCTGTTTGTACTCTATGAACAGAATCAGCCCCACGTTTGCTGATGCCTACTCCAACATGGGTAACACCCTTAAAGAGATGCAGGACGTTCAGGGGGCGCTGACGTGCTACACCCGAGCCATTCAGATCAACCCCGCTTTTGCCGACGCGCACAGCAACTTGGCTTCCATACACAAGGTATGAATGTTGAGCCATTAAGAATAATACGTATTGTCAGTGTTGTTTTGAGTTCAAACGGTGTCACTCTGCCCTTAAAGGATTCTGGGAACATTCCTGAGGCGATTGCCTCTTATCGCACTGCCCTGAAGCTCAAGCCCGACTTCCCTGATGCCTACTGTAACCTGGCTCACTGTCTACAGGTACGGCAGAACCACAAGTGTGCATTACCTCAATAAGCTCATTGTTTCTAGCTAAATTAAAGGTATAGCGGAGGATTTTCTTTTTCCGGGTGGGTAGTCTATACTATTGGTCCACCTAAGTGTCAATCATTCTGGTGATATGTTTACGTAAGGCCGTCGTACGTGCTCATCCCTATGTAGTTTTCACTTTCAGGTGTATTATGTCAGAGTTACGGTTTCAGCCATTCCTTTTTGAAATGGCTGAGGGCCTAAAGAGATCTAAAGGGCCATTTAAAATCACTAGTAAAAGTTAATGCAAGCTACTTAGCAATGCTAGCCCTGGCACATAGACACGGTAAACATCTCAATTTGTCTAAAGTAGCCTTTTGACCAAGTGGTAAATGGCATCACGCTGAAATATTCTAAAACCTTGTGTGTTTATTATGACACAAATGCAACAAGCTACTTCTTCATTACACATGCAACTATGTATAAAAATAACATATACCTACGTATTAACAATGAGACATATTAGGTTAAGGACCAACGTAATAGCACTGCTTATATGTTGCCATGTAACGTAATTGCGATTTGCAAAATAGTTTCCTCAGAACGTATTTCGTGTGATACTTGAGTCCTCGGTCACTCAATCGATCAGTGTAATAAGTAAATAAAACACGAAAGGTTTTATTTTTTATGAATGTTTTTGAGTTAGTTTATAATTTTCAACATAATTGTGTAAGGCGTAATAGGCGTTCCCTCTCGGGAGCAAGAGTGTTGTGTTTGTGCATGTGCATTTTTTTAAAAAAAAAAATTGGAGAGGGCGGGTCTTCTCTAAAATTCGGAAAGATCCTCCGCTATACCTTTAATGATTCATTCATAATGACACTCAAAGACTTCACTTGTTTTATTTTTGTATTAAACATTACAAATCATTAAATAATACAGATAAACAAGAAAAAAAAAAATAAAGACAAAAACATACACAGACACAAATAATTCGCCAGGCTAACAAAAATGAATAAAGAGATACAGTTTTGATTGCTTTACTTGTTTCATTACTGGATGAATCAGCATTTTTTTGAACGAATCTCTTGAATTAATGATTCAATGACAAATACATTATTAACACTCACCTTTTGGTGTAACAATGTAATTTATCCTTATTTGAAGCGTCAAGTTTGTGCATGTGCATTTTTTTTTTTTAAAAAATTGGAGAGGGCGGGTCTTCTCTAAAATTCGGAAAGATCCTCCGCTATACCTTTAATTTAGCTGACTGTGATTTGTGTATGAATTGCCTCCAATAATAGATCACTCTACATTGTAATGTGGCTGTGTGTCCTGAACGTGCACATTTTCACGCCGCTCTCGGGTGGGAACGTGTGTGTGATGCTGTGATGTACTCTGATCCTCAGATTGTATGCGACTGGACTGACTATGACGAGCGTATGAAGAAGCTGGTGAGCATTGTGGCTGATCAGCTGGATAAGAACCGCCTGCCGTCAGTGCACCCCCATCACAGCATGCTGTACCCCCTCTCGCACGGCTTCCGCAAGGCCATTGCAGAGAGACATGGCAACTTGTGTCTGGATAAGGTGTGTATATTACACATGGAAGGATTTACACTGGCCTGTGTATGAGCATCAATGCAATACTTTTCTTGCTTTATAGATCAATGCTCTTCACAAACCTGCTTATGAGCATCCGAAGGACCTGAAGGCCAGCGCAGGCCGTTTGCGTGTGGGTTATGTCAGCTCAGATTTCGGCAACCATCCCACTTCTCACCTGATGCAGTCCATCCCTGGCATGCACAACTCCGAGAAGTTTGAGGTGAGTAGTTGTCATGTATGGGTGTTTCTCTTGAGTAGATTTGTGTTGCATATGAGACATGAAAGTGGAACGAAACCGCGCTCAGAACAGGTTCACTCGCGGGCCAATCTCAATCACACAACAACGTTACTGCACAGTCCTGGGAGATCCAGTGAGAAAGTGTTTGAATTCACCGCAAAATGAATAGAGGGAATGCATTGACGTCACTTTCCCGCCCGATCAACCCCCCTCAGCCCGACCGAGTGGCAAAAGATCTGCTGTGTGACTGGATTTAATAGGGGAAACTGCGACTAAAACGAACAATGTTATCAATTTAAACTAAGGCCGTGTGTCCACCAAATAGGGTTGGGTATCGAGAATCGAGTATCGATTGGAACCGGGACTAACTTTTCGTTTTTCCCGGAATCGTTCAAAAGTTAAAATTTCGATTCCTAGTTTCGATATTCACAGTCCGCCGAGCGGAAGAAGAAACCGCTGAACAACACCAACGAAGAAGCGTCTACCGGAAGTGTTGGCATAACCGCGCGAGTTTAACATGAGTAGCTTACGTCGGCGGTCCAAAGTGTGGCTTCACTTTTCTAAAAATAACGAAATCTCGGCAAAATGCAAAATTTGTGACAAAAGGAGTATTTCCTTTAGAAAGGCCGTTGGTTAGCAAGGTTAGCTAAACTTTTTTGACCCTGCTTCTTAAAAGAATCGGAATCGAGAATTGTTAGGAACCGGAATCGAAACAAGGAATCGGAATCAGAATCGTTCAAATTCAAACGATACCCAACCCTACCACCAAGGCGTTTTTAGCCAGCTGAAAATGCTAGACGCTCTGCTGAAGACGCCGTGCTTTGGGCGCTTGAGAGCGTTTTTTTCCCGTTGAGACGTTTCGTTGCTATGATACAGAATATCTGCAGCAGTTTGAATGTTGACAGTTGGTCGGTGTAGTATTAGTCCCGCCCCTCCTCCACTGTGATTGGACGGCTGGGTAAAAAGTGACAGTGATGAGCACTGCGTTTTATCCAAAGTTGAATATTTTTCAACTCCCAGCGACCAGTAAAAAAACGCCGGGCGCTTCAACGTGAAAAAAACGCTCAGCGCCTCGGTACGCTCATGGCGTTTAAAAAACACGGCACTCCCATTGAAAACAATTGAAAACATACGCCAGGCGCGTGGAAAAACGCTCTGGTGGACACACGGCCTAAATGTTGGACTCAATATAGTGTTCCTTACAACTTACTAAAGATCCAGTGATCCGTGGATATTGACATGCAGCCAGGAATCGTGTTGCCAGACATTTATGTTTGCCTGATTTCGACACCGGGGAAATAAAAGCAATATAGACCTAAACATAAAGCAAATTTGCCTGTGAACGCTTTATGTAAATACAATATAGGAAGGTCTAAATCCGGCGGATCACTTATATCAGTGTTATATAGCCTATATATATATATCATATCGTCCAGCCCTAAAACTTTATAGTTTTTCTTTTTTTTTTTGGTCAGTGTTTATTAAAAAACACCCAATAATGCAGAATATACAATGATAAATATTTAATTGAGTTGTTAATATATATAACAATACAAAATATATGGGTATGGTTTTACAGCTAAGTTCAGCATATTGACACACAATGAGAACTGCAGATCCAGCTTTCGCTGACTGGATTCCAGTTTCTATAGCAGTCTGTAAAAATATACCTCCGATTTTTTTTGTCAAATCTAGTTGTACAGTCGATCGCAAAGCTCTTTCCCACTTTATGTGTGTTGTGTTTGTTTTTCGCGGCATTCACGCTGATAACAAATACAGCCGCTCAGTCTTTCTGCCACTCACTGTGAGGAACTGCAGGCCGACGGTGACGTCACACGCATACTCTCTATAACATCGCAGCGAGATCTAGTCTGAAGTGTTCGCATTTGGTGCAAAATTCTCAGTTATAAACCGTATCGGATGAAACGGCACAGACGTGGAAACCAGGAGAAACAATTTGCTGTGAACAAACAAGTTATGGAAGGCTTCACCATGGATTTACTATAGTAATGCTGACTGTAACCATGGTATTGTGGCAGAAATAGTCAAATGTTTTTACATTATTTATCTCGAACAACATATTGAGAGTGAAATTCAAGCACTTTTCAAGGGATTTCAAGTGCTTCACAATTTTTTCCAGCTCGCTCTCTCTCTCTCTCACTTTGTGGCAAACAAACTTTTTTTTTAAGTCATGAAATTACCACCATAACCAGTAGATTGCGGAAGAGGAGCACTTATTGAGTTTTAGGCATTTCCACTCCCTAATTTATGAAAAATCTCAAGTCTCATGAAAAGCACTAGCTTTTCTTCAAGTTGTGACTAAATTACACAGAAAACAAGTGAAGAGCGCTTCTTTTACAATCGCTGAATCTGTCAGTCAGTTCAGCGTGACACTTTAAAAGAACAATGGTTCATTTATTAACATTTAAATTACATTTTCCCTTTAAAAATTAGGTTTTTGCGAATTAATTAAAAGTTAATTTGATCTGCGTCTCAATTCATGCCCAGTGCTTTGTCAAATTTCCAATAAATAAACATGTAATATTATTAGTACTTTCACTTATTTATGCACAAAAAATAGCAGTTTTATGCTTAAAGTAACTTTATGATTAAAAATGTCACGCTGTTGTGTCTCGTGCAGGTGTTCTGCTACGCTCTCAGCCCTGACGACAGCACCAACTTCAGAGTCAAAGTCTTGGCCGAGTCTCATCACTTCATCGACCTCTCACAGGCGAGTATAAGCATGTTCAAGACACAGCGTCTTCCTCCTTTCAGGCGGTCTGTTTTGATGTCATCATGACTTCATCTCTCCATAGATCCCTTGTAATGGAAAAGCAGCCGACAGGATCTTTCAGGATGGAGTCCACATCCTGGTCAACATGAACGGGTATACTAAAGGAGCGCGCAACGAGCTGTTCGCACTGCGCCCGGCGCCCATTCAGGTTGGCATTCGAGAGTGTTTGTGACATAACAGGCATTGATGGAGAGATCTGGACCATATATAGGAAGCCATTTGCAGCAAATTCCTTAATGCATATTGGAATAAATTTGGCAAGTTTTTACGACAGCCACCATTTAAATGTTTATATTTCATATAATCTTATTATTATAAAAATAAATAAAAGTGTAATTATATTAAATAAGTGTTTGTATAGCTACAAAACAGTTCATTATTACCTTCATATTAGGCTAATGAAGCCTAGTAGGCTAAAACTAGACTCCCATAGTTTACGGCATTAGTTAAGAGATTTGATTCCCTTGAGAAAAATTGCCATTTATTGTAACTGATATCCAAAATAATCAATATTGAATCGAATCGAACCGTAATCGAAATCGAATTGAATTGTGAAATTTGTCTCAATACTAGGCTTGCCGCGATAGACGGTGTTGTCGGTGTTACCGGTTTTAAGCCCCATCACCGGTGACATCACTTTCCCACCGTGACACCGCGATGTCTTGACTTTTTTTTTTAAAGTATTCGTTTTTGCTAAAATATTTATTTGAATTAATTAAAAATAATAATTTTCAATTATTTAGTTCTGAAGAGAGCATTATAATTAAAAATGAACTGCGCAACGCGTGCCGTCACGTCACAGATCAGCAAGCATCAGGATTCCATTTAGCTAGCACGTGTGGAGACGAGAACGAGTCAAATTACAGAAAAGCAAGATTATGGCGGAAGATTTGGTGTCAAAACGCAATGCAAAAGCGCCTGTTTGGCAATATTTTGGCCAATATATATTAATGTTAATAAATGCCAATTTATAGTGTTTTACTTTTTTTTAGAGTGCTGTCATTTATGTAGGCTAAGGTCCTTTTTAAAGTTTTTATTTTATATTCGTCTCTTTTTATTTGGTTTTATCTTATTTAAACTTTGTTTAATTTATTTAGGCCTATTTTGTTTTCTTATTCGTTAATAAACGTTTTATTTTTTTTGGGCCCACAGTTTGCCGATTTTCACTTTTTTCAGCCTATGCATGGGGTTATTTTTATTCGTTCGTTATGCTAATAAAAGTTCTGTCTATATTTTATTCGTTTATTATTCTAATAAAAGTGCTGTCTAAATAAAAGTTTATTGTCAGCGAGTTGTTTTTTTTTTCTTTTTTTTGTCCATTCCAGCAATTGACGCTGAATTGCAATTGACGCTTATTTCGAAAGTGAAAGTATGTCATTTATGTAGGCTAAGGTCCGTTTTGAAGTTTTTATTTTATATTCGTCTCTTTTTAATTGGTTTTATCTCATTTAAACTTTGTGTAATTTATTTAGGCCTATTTTATTTTCTTATTCGTTAATAAACGTTTTATGGTTCTTATTTGTTTGGGCCCACATTTTGCCGATTTTCACTTTTTTCAGCCTATGCATGGGGTTATTTTTATTCGTTCGTTATGCTAATAAAAGTCTATAAATAAAAGTTTTATTATCAGCGAGTTGTTTTTTTTGTCCATTCAAGCAATTGACGCTTATTTCGAAAGTGAAAGTATAACGTGCACGCATTTAAAAGCTATTTAACCCCCCCGCCCTGCCCTCCACGGTGACACCGGGAATACCGGTGTTGTCACACGTCGATTAACCGGTGGGAAATTTTCCTCACCGCGGCAACCCTATTCAATACCGAGCCCTAGTCATAACTGTGTTTTTTCCACTCCGCCAGGCCATGTGGCTTGGATACCCAGGCACCAGTGGTGCTCCCTTCATGGACTACATCATCAGTGACAAGGACACGTCGCCCATTGAGGTCGCGGAGCAGTACTCGGAGAAACTGGCCTACATGCCCAACACCTTCTTCATTGGAGATCACGCCAACATGTTCCCTCACCTCAAGGTACGATTCAGTCTCCCACCACATGATTTTATTTTGATCGCTTACAGAAAAGAAGGGTCATGTTTTTCTCTTTACCCACTAGAAAAAAGCAGTGATCGACTTCAAGTCAAACGGACACATTTTTGACAACCGCATAGTGCTGAATGGCATCGATCTGAAAGCCTTTCTGGAGAGTCTGCCGGATGTCAAAGTGGTGAAGGTGAGTGAAGAAATCCCAGCTTTAATCTACCCAGGGTAAACAGACATGCTAATGTTTCTTCCCCTGCTGTCAGATGGAGTGTGATGGTCAAGAGGTGGCTGACGCCAACGGTACCCTTTCCATGCCCGTCATCCCCATGAACACGGCTGCCGAGGCCATCATTAACATGATCAACCAAGGCCAGATCCAGGTCACCATCAACGGCTTCACCGTCAGCAACGGCCTGGCCACCACTCAGGTATCTGTCGATCTTTCCCTGGTTTCCCTGCTTCTTCCTGGCTTGTGATTTAGTCCTGTCCTTCATTCTGAGCATGACAGATCTGCGGGTAACTGACCACGTTTACATGCACAACACAAGCCTTCGTTCTGCGAAAGAGGCTTACACTCTTTTCCAGTCTTTTATGATCCTCTATTTTGTTTTGACACTGGAGTATTTAACGTGTTCACGTGAATATACAAGCAGAATATAACACCTGATTAATAATCAGGGTTCGTACGGGTGCTTGAAATCCTTGATGTGTTGTGAAGGTTTGAAAACTGCTTAAATAGGGCTTGGGCGCCGCGTTGCATTCTGGGACGTGGCGGCCATGTTGGAGGCTTCGCAAATGTAAACATACCAGCAAATCGAATGAGGAGAAGCAGCTGAGTTGGGAGAAAGAAAATAAAAAAAGATGCGGAATTTACCGGGATACGTTTAATAGGGAAACCAGGGACTGGTATGTGGATAAAACGGCACTTTTAACGGGTTGGATCCATTTGAAATTTCCAACAAACAGTGGGAGCACAGTACGTTACGCTAACCGGACAAAGGTAAACTGCGCTCCACCTAGCTGCTAGTTTAGTGACAGTTATAGTGCTAACAACCATTTACACATTCTTTTAGCTATGTGTTTCAAAAGTGTAGTAGTAACGTTAGCTGTTTTAAGCACTTAAACTTAAGTTAGTAAGCAAAACGATGCTTAAAGCAAGAGGGTAACAGTTTAACAACAGAGACTGACAGGTCCGATTAAAGGGCTAATGTTAATGTTATGAGAATATTAAAATACGGGATATTTTACAGGAATATACTAAAACGGGAAGACAGCGGGAAAAGAGATCAAGTACGTGAGAAACCCGGAAAAAACGCGAGGGTTGACAGCTAACGTTACTATCTGTCCGGATTACCCTGTTCCCACTGTTTGCCGACTCTTTGTTGGAAATTTCATATGGATCCAAACCGTTAAAAGTGCCGGTTTAGTCCACATACCGGTCGCTGGCTTCCCTATTTAACATATCCCGGTAAATTCCACAACCTTTTAGGGATTTTAACATCTTTTTTCTTTTCTTTATCCCAACTCTGCTGCTTCTCCTCGTTCGACTTGCTGTATGTTTACATGCGCGTAAGCCTCCAACATGGCCGCCACGTCAGTAATGACGTCACAACGCCCAAGCCCTATTTGGGATAAAATGCTTCAAATTGAAACTGTATTTCTTTCCCAATAATTACCTAACTGACTGAATCGTTTGTTTATTAAATGGAGAAATAAGATGTACTCCTTTAAGTAGGCGGAGTTTTCGTTTTGATTTCCCGCCCATTTGGATGCCCCGTTTTTATTGGCCGCGTGGGTCATCATCACAGAGCGCAGCAACAGAAGTTGAACACTTTTTAACTTTAACCGGCAATGCTAAATTGGTATAATTGGTATAATTAGCGCAGCTCTTTCCACGTCCTGTCTGAAAGGGCCATTAGTACTTGGTGTGATACTGTAATGTAAGTATTGCATGTCCGTTATGGCTCGTTCATTCGTTGAATATGCAGTGAACGTAGCCAAAGTTTAGAGATGGCAAAATTACTCACTTCCCGTACTCAAGTAGAAGTATTTTTAAAAAAAATACTCTGGTAAAAGTAGAAGTATTGATTTAACTTCTTTACTCAAGTAAAAGTAACAAAGTGCAGTCTTAAGGCCATTGCACACCGAGTCCGAAATTCGCATCCGAAATTTTCGCACGTTAAAAAAAAAATTCGACCTCACGTTATGTCAGTCACGCTTGCACACCGCCTCCGAAACTTTCGTCCGTCATAAAATTAATCGGATCGGGTTCGATTTTCTGCGTTTTTCGCATCCAGAGCCAGCATTTTGAGAGGTCTTTTGACAATTCAGGGCCGGGGGAGCTCGTCCTCAAATCATTGCACATATGCGCCGTGCTTTCAGTTTCGGTTTTCAATTCGATCAAGTGTTTATGTTCTCTTCTCTATATTGGATTATGAAATTAATAAACCTCCCCTTTCAATCAGATTGAAATTTAGGATCGAATAAGGTGTGATTGAGCAGCCTATTCGATAACTAATGTATTTGGGCACAATATACACAATAACAGCCTAGCTGTTCTGCCCAGCGCTTCCAACGGGCCGCGCGCGGGTGTGTGTTTGTCCGTGTGTGTGTGTGTGTGTCCATTTCAGACACACTGCCAGTCTCCGTTCAGAATCGATTGGTTCACGGAAATTGGTGGTCTTGTTTTTAATATGTGGCTCCAGAATCGCTAGCAAAGCATCGAACTGTCCCACTGACATTCTGAGGTAAATTTTGAATCGCTCAGGATAAATTCGCAACTCCTTGATAAGGAACTCTCCTTCCTCTCGGCGCAATTTCAGGATTGGATGGACGTAATATTTTCTCTTTCTTCCTTTTTCAATAAGAGAGAGGGCAAAAATCATCCTCACTGCTTGACGAATCCATTTGGTATTTTTGCGTTTTTTCCCGCAAAGGTTTAAGAAATACGCAACGGACTCGGTGTGCAAGGTTTCTATGCGTGACGAATTTTTAAGCTGACGAACACGAAAATACGCATACGAATATTTCGTGCTCGGTGTGCAATGGCCTTTAAAGTATAAAAGTAGCCTTGCGAATGACAACCATTTTTATGCAATATTTGCACTGCTCTATTCCAGTGGATAAATGTATATGCCTTGAAATGACTTGATTTGTGAGCAATATTTGGACATCAAGTATTATTCATAGGTAGGGGTGGGCAAAAAAATTGATTTTTCGATTAATCGTTTTTTAAAATGTGGTCGATTCAAAATCGATTCTCAACGGCCACGAATCGATTTTTTTCCATATAAAGGGCTCGCGGACGCGGTGCTGCATCTTCTCGTCTCTCTGCACTAATCAAGCGCTGCAGCTGTCAATACACACACGCGTTTAGGAGTCGGGACACGACGGAATATTCACTTAACAATCGGGCCAGCATTGCATCGTGACCTATGATCGTAACTAACGTTTATCATTTATTTTCTCAAGCAATGTTAAACCATCCCGTGCTCGCGCACTCTCAGAGATTTCTTTCACTGCGTGCACAGCCTAAATCCGCCTCACAAACAGCTTGCCAGAAACAAAAGTTTTATCCCTGGATTATATCGCTTTAACAGTTAAAACACGCGACATTATGTCAAAACTCTGGTCTTGGTGAGTAACCTCGTAAAGACAGTCGGTAATGTCTTAAATTAGCATTAAACGCGTGTGACAAAGTTAATGAAACAGTAATGGATTCGCACACTAGTTCTTAAAGTGAACGCAGCCATTTGTGTCAGTCATTAATTCTGTTGTCATAACAACAGAATATAGTATTAATTGTAAGCAATCAGAATTAATAGCCTTTGTATTTAATTCAGTCTGGACTAAAAAGACTATCCAGTGTTATTTTACATTGGATTACTTTATTCAGTTTCTGTAGTATTTCTGACATACCCCAAAAAACTACCCCAAAATGTCTCTTAATTTGTGTCTTTATTCTATTGTATTTATTTGTGCTACTTTTTTCAATTTAATTCAAAGATTGAAATCAAGCATCCATACATAAACTCTTAACAAAAAAAATACATTAACATTTAGGTAAGATCAATGTAAAAAATGTCTAAATATTTATATATTTATCTATCTTACACATAAAATAAAATGATACTGTTTAATCAAGCTGTGCGACTGTTCTGTGCGACTCTTTTTTTGCACATTGCATCAAAATCCTGTCTAGTCTTTGTATGCATTTAGTGTACCTAAAATAAAAAGAGTTTTATATACAGGTTTATGGCTCTTAATTTTCTTGTATTAATTAACCACTAGTAAACTTATGTCCACTGTTCTTTTTTATAAATTATAAATATAGGATTTTTATTACATCTTCATTATAGTTGAATCGAGAATCAAGTATTAGGGAATGAGCAACGATTAATCGCATCCAAAATAAAAGTTTGTGTTTACATAATATACATGTGTGTAGTGTGTATAATTAATTTGTATATATAAATACCCACACATGCATGTATATATTTAAGAAATATGTGCATGTATATATCAAATATTTATATTTATATATAATATTAATTGTGAATAAATATATATATATATATATATATATATATATATATATATATATATATATATATATATATATATATATATACATGCACATATTTCTTAAATATATACATGCATGTGTGGTATTTATATATACAAATTAATTATACACACTACACACACATATATTATGTTATTTTGGATGCGATTAATCGTTGCCCATCCCTAACTGGTATGTAATTTACAGTGTTGTAAGGTGCTGGGAAAAGCTTGAAAGTGCTTGAATTTGACCTTGGATGAGGTGTACGAACCCTGAATGATAATTCTGAATGTGGATTTGTATGTAAATGTGGTCTGTCACTGACACCTCATTTCAATGTCTTCAATTGTCAATGTCTAATTCATTTTGGCGATTAAAGCAGCGGTGAGGTGTTTTAATTGCACTCGCACGTGAGAGCCTTGATTTCACTCAGATGGGTGGTGAAATTACTCTAATCATCTCAGATCAGTTTCCTCCTTTGATTGGCTCCTGCTTTAAGGGAAGATCGGGCTAAAAGACGCTGTGATGATAGTCGGCAGAGTCAGAATATTTCCTATGTTGTTGTTTTTCAGATTTTTACATTGGAGGAGGTTGTAGTATCTGGGACTGTAGCTCTGCAGGTATGGCACACTCGAGCTGGCCGAGAAAAGCACGCTTTGAGAAAGGACGTGTGCAATAGTCACTCGGGCCTTCACACCACTGCTGTAGGGCACAGACACGGTGGCGGAGGAGTTGGGATGGGCGACACTGTTTTAGGGAACATGCTTGTCTTTGCAGTACCTAGACGAGTAACTCGTGTGTTCTTCAACCTCTCTGTTTAGATCAACAACAAGGCAGCAACCGGAGAAGAAGTTCCCAGAACGATTGTGGTGACCACCCGCTCGCAATACGGCCTTCCTGAAGACGCGATTGTCTATTGCAACTTCAACCAGCTCTATAAGATTGACCCTCCCACCCTGCAGATGTGGGCCAATGTAAGGCTTTTATCAGTAACACTTGTCTGTACAGTAGAAACACAAATTGGAATCAGCGCAACATGATTAGAGAAAACAGATAAAAACACCCATAATGCACTTTTGATCTGACTGTCTGTGGGCAGCAATGCAGAAATACGGAAGTTCACTCTGTAGTTTGAACTAAAGCCCTAGAGTTGTCCAAATCTGCTGGATGATGCAAAACGGGTCATTTTGATTAATTCGATTAATTTGATTAATTTGATTAATAAACAGGGTTATCTGGGTGCTGATGACACAGAGAAAGTGTGCATATTGTTTATTTACTCATTTACGTACAATACTAACATTAATAATTAGGGTTGGGTATCGATTGGAACCGGGACTAACTTTTCGTTTTCCCGGAATCGTTCAAAAGTTAAAATTTCGATTCCTAGTTTCGATATTCACAAAAAAAAAAAAAAAAAAAAGTTTCGATGTTCACAATCCGCCGCGCGGAAGAAGAAACCGCTGAACAACACTAACGAAGAAGCGTCTACCGGAAGTGTTGGCATAACCGCGCGAGTCGAACATGAGTAGCTTACGTCGGCGATCCAAAGTGTGGCTTCGCTTTTCTAAAAATAACGAAATCTCTGCAAAATTTGTGACAAAAGGAGTATTTTTACAGAAGGAGTATTTCCTTCAGAAAGGCCGTTGGTTAGCAAGGTTAGCTAAACTTTTTTGACCCCGCCTCTTAAAAGAATCGGAATCGAGAATCGTTAGGAACCGGAATCGAAACAAGGAATCGGAATCAGAATCGTTCAAATTCAAATGATACCCAACCCTATTAATAATACAAAGAGAGTTAAATCTGTCAACTTATTGATCTGTTTCTGTATTATTATACATAGTTCAGGGCTTTAAGGCATTATATATACATTCCCGTTTCGCTGTTGTTTCTCCAGCTAAATCATATTTAACATGGATCTCTGTTCATCTATTAAAACTGAAGTTTTAGCTCCCCGTGTGTTGAAAATCAAGCTTTCAATGTTGTTAATGTGGTGTTTTTATTTTTCTTTAAGACATAAGTCGACAGCATTGTTGCGTATTCTCTCCTTAAAAACTGCAGTGAACCGCATAAAACTAACGGTGAAGAATTACATTCAAGCTATTTTGAGGCATGAAGACTTTTTTTCAATAAAAAAAAAGTTTAAATATGTAATTTTGGTAAACAAAGATGAGTTAAGGGATAAAATTATTGACTACATGGCGACTTTAATTATTTCAACATGATGCCATTTTAGCAAAGCACACTCAAAAGGAATAATGTAAATAATGTCATACCCGCCAACATGTACGCATTTTGCGTAGTGGCCACGCATTTTGACCTCAAAGTACGCTGGTACGATTTGTCACTCTAAACTACGCAAAAACCTGGCGACGCGTATTTGCACGCGCAGTCCTCAAATCAAGCAACAGCAAGAGAAGAAGAGTTCGGCCAATCATAGCGCTGGGTTCATTCAAATTGCAAGCGGAGATGATTGACAGATGTGTAAGTCTTATAATTAAAAAGAGACTGAAAATCAACACCAATAAAGAATCCCGCTCGATCCCGCTTCCACTCGCACGCGCCCCGGGTCTGACTGATTTAAGCGAGGACAGTAGGCCTACAGTAGTCGGGACTTCTCCTGAAGGTAAACGGGCTGGGGTGGATGTAGAAAGTTGAAATATTGTATTTGAGTTCATTTAAAATTGATTGGTTATCACACGGGACGGGATCGCAAGGATTATTTAAAAAATACTCTTTCATAATTCTTTCATGGTAACTCAGATAAGAGGAAGACATTCAGCCATGGAAATTACAAAAATGCTCAAGTAATGTTGAACAATAAATCTAAATAAAATTGAAATCGCTATGTCTTAGTGATTATGAAAGTGCTGTTATTTGTGGATGACTGATAATATAAAGCGCAAATCTGGAGAAACAGGCGTTTATTTTTTTCATTCTCAGTGTTGAGAAACATAGCCCGCTTGTGTTACGTTATTATGTTAATAACCAAAGTACCGAATTATGTTACGTATTTATTTTTGTATGAAAACTAGTCTAGTCGGCGTACTTATGGATTAAAAACGACCGTTGTATGATCTCATCTATCAGTGCTGCGCGACCTCTCACAAACAGAGAGAGAAGATATTTATAATATAAAAATTGACAGGCAAAGTTTGACAGGTTTTCTTTGTCCAAAATGTCAAAGCTTTTTGTCTTGTCTATTCGTGTTTTTACAATTAGTTAAGCGACGGACGCTTTACTGTTAACAGCCCTCGTTATATGTCGGATTCGTCTTATTTGAACAATTATATTATTGGTCATGTGACAGGACTCCTGTCTATTCGTTGTTAACTGTTTCTATAAATATATTTGGATTGGCTAAAGTTTATTCAGCTAATGCATGTCCTGTTTATAATGTGAAGCCTAATGTTCAAATGCAAAGAAAGCACAAATATAAGCCCTTTTCCCTGTAGGATTTAATATCATATTTGGATATTGGAATAATCAATTAAGTAGCCAATTTAAAATAAATAACATGTACACGTTTTTTAAACAATTTTTTATTGGTATCTAGGTTTTTCATTATTATTTTAGATTAATTGACCAGCACAGATTATATGCAATACAATACTAATCAATCATGAATAAAGAAATGGAGTTGAGTAGGATTGAAACTTTGTACTTTCACTGTTGCATTGCAGTGCAAGTTAAATTTAGTATTTGCATCAAATTAAAAAACCTTTAGAGGTCAAAACTATTTTTATAGAATTATAAAGATAGGCATGTGTCTGTGTGTGACACAGACAAAAATAATGACAAATATATTTTGAGAGACACCCCCCGCGGCATAAAAGTACTCATAAAATTTCTTCTAGGTTGGCAGGTATGTAATGTTCACCAAATTACTGATTGTTTTTATACACCTATAATATGGCACACAACTGTTGTGACCAACAGAGGCTTCTGCAGATGTGTTTTGAGTAATCTCATATCATAAATTTAAATCGTGGTGTTCATTATCGAATCATCGTTGTAAAGCAGCTTCTCTCCTCACTGTGCAGATCCTGAAGCGTGTGCCCAACAGTGTGCTGTGGCTGCTGCGCTTCCCGGCCGTGGGCGAGCCCAATATCCAGCAGTACGCCCAGAACCTGGGCCTGCCCGCGTCCCGCATCATCTTCTCCCCGGTGGCCCCGAAGGAGGAGCACGTGCGGCGAGGACAGCTGGCCGACGTGTGCCTTGACACCCCGCTCTGCAACGGACACACCACAGGCATGGACGTGCTGTGGGCCGGGACGCCCATGGTCACTATGCCAGGTCAGTGTTTCCCTGCTACTGTAGCGGAGCGGGCATGTAATTTTTTTTATTATTAGACATCAAAAAGAATGTATAATAATTGAAATCATGTATTATTATTTTTTTTTAAATGTATAGATATATGAAAAAATATATATATTATATATATATATATATATATAAACACTGCAGGTAACACACACTGAGAGCCAGGGGTGTAACAAGACCCTCGTGTCACGATTTGATGCGTATCACGAGACTGAACAATATTATTGCTGTACTCCAAGACACAGTAAAAGATTAACAAAAATTGATGTTCAGTGTTGCTGAGCAGAAATACAGAATCATGTTTCTCTTGATAGATTAAGAGGCTGTCTATCACTACACACACATTTTACATGTTCGTAGAGTTACTACTGGAGTAAATATATAGGCTATAATCTGTGTTCACACAGCTTTTGTTAAATTTAAGAAAACACACTTCAGCAAAACATCATCAGCTCAAAGTGTTTTTACTGGTTGTCTCTGTATGAAGAGTTTATGGGTATAATACGTCACAGTTTACTTTATTTTGCACTCCTCACTTACATAAATGAACTATCGTGTCTGGATTACACTAGTGGAAAGATTCTGCGAAAGTACAACCAGCCAAGTGTGACTTTTGCACAGGCAAACACCTCATGCTTTCTTCAGAGTGTGTGTGAATGTCTCCTGTTTCCTGCAGGAGAGACGCTGGCGTCACGAGTCGCCGCCTCTCAGCTCACGTGTCTCGGCTGCCTCGAACTCATCGCTCAGAGCCGACAGGAGTATGAAGACGTCGCCGTGAAGCTCGGCACTGATATGGAATTGTGAGTTCATTTAGTCTATTTCTGCTTTCTAAACGACACATGTTAATAAGGTTGGGCTGATAGACTTCATGATTTCTGTTTCTCCCCCTCTTGATCTGTAACGTGAGATGGGTGCACATGTTTGTTTGCGCTGCAGTTCAGAAAGTCCCGTCTGTCGGGTTCATTACAGTGGGTGAATTTAGTAAAGAACACCAGACTTTAGTAAACTTAGCATCTCAAGCACAGTACACGCATCATATTTTTGCAGAATTAAAGGAGTAGTTCACTTTTGAAAAAACTTTTGCTGATAATTTACTCGCCCCCATGTCATCCAAGATGTCCATGTCTTTCTTTCCTCAGTCGAAAAGAAATTAAGGTTTTTGATAAACATTCCAGGATTTTCTCCATATAATGGACTTCAATGGGAACCAAACGGTTCAAGGTCCAAAAGACAGTTTCAGTGCAAACTGTTCAAAGGGCTTTAAACGACTCCAGACGATGAATAAGGGTCTTATCAAGCGAAACGATCGGTTATTTCAAAACTTATTCCAAAAATGTAGCTTTTCTAAGGACAAATGCTAGCATTGCTCTATTCTGTGAGGCGCGTTTGTAACGTCACGTAATACGTAATTACGTTCAAGGTCACGGGTGACGTAGCCAGAAGTCGTTTAAAGACATTTGAAGCTGCATCTGAAACTGTTATTAACTGTCGTTTCGACCTTAAACCATTTGGACCCCATTAAAGTCCATTATATGGAGAAAAATCCTAGAATGTTTTCATCAAAAACCTTAATTTCTTTTCGACTGAGGAAAGAAAGACATGGACATCTTGGATGACATGGGGGTGAGTAAATTATCAGCCAAAGTTTTTTCAAAAGTGAACTAATCCTTTAAATGGAGGGGGAAAAGAAGCAAAAAACAAGCGTAAAAGTTTGAATGTGAAGATGTGCCACTTTGCTACACGTAGCCCAACCCTAATGTTTAAAGCAATTGTGCCCAACCCTGCTCCTGCCGATCGACTGTCCTGCAGAGTTTATCGCCAACCCTAATCAAACACACCTGAAGCAACCAATTAAAGAGCCCCTATCATGGATTTTTGAAAATGACTGTTCATATGGTGTGGCATATAGCTCTAAGGGAATGGAAACATCCTGCAAAGATTTATATCTGAAAGTGCTCCGTATATAAATTTATTGTCTTTCAAATGTGAGAGTCGACTCTTTGAGTCTATGAAATGAATTGTTTTTGAAACGAGTCATTAGCTGTTACATCGTGATGTAGAGAGGTCATTGGCCGCTCCCAACAACTGCGTGCGCAGACTTGAAGTGACGTCTAGAAAACATTCAAATACTTCAGCTGAATCGCATCATGTCGAGAAGACGCTGTTCTACATTGCAAAGACAGTTCAGCCACTTGTTTCCACTGTCCACGGATGAGCATGTGAAGATTCAGTGGTCAGAGTTCATATTTGCAACGATACCACAACAGTATAGCCCGAACCTTGTGTTCTCATCATTTTAATGACGAATCGTTCAAAAACATAAATGAATTCAAATGTGGATTTGCAAGTCGGTTGTTCCTGAAGGAGGACTCAGTATCCAGTGTATATGGATCAGGCTCGTCCTCCTTCGAATCACAATCTGTAAGTATTATTAATAATGTTTGCTGTTAGTTATATTGTGTTGTGTACACTCCGCGCAGCTTCTAAGCGGGATAAAGTTAGTTTTGTTCTTGATATTCCCCAGATATTCACTAAAAAATGGCAATTACCTCCTAAACGACCTAGCCAAAAAGTTATTTAAACCCCATTGCCGCTAAAAAGGCAAGGCTAACAATGTTTCACAAGCTTAATTTTCCGTATTTTCGCTCTATATAATAAGCACTGCCCCTCAAAAGCCGCCGCAATGTGAGTTTCGCGGGGAAAGCTCGCTCTCGACAGAGACGCGAGTAAGGGACCGTGTGGAAAGTGCACTTTTTCTGACACGTTTGTTCAAACACTATATACAATTTTCAACACTTGACGAGCTATAATCCTGGTTATGGGCGCTCCGTTGCCGACAGTCTCTGCCTACGGTTTACCAATAACAACTGACTGGGTCATCTGACCAATCAACGCAGATTCACGTCACTCAAAGGAAAATGAATCGTCGAACGAATCATTTGGGAGTCGTTGAGCAAATCAGGTAAAAATAAATGCATATTATAAGACAAATAAAGAGTTTTTTTTATCCTTGCATGCACGTTAAACTGTTTTTGGGAACTCCCAAAACAAAAATAGGCACATTTCAAATGCTATGATAGGGGCTCTTTAAGGTCTTCAGGATCACTTGAAAATTAAAGGCAGGTGTGTTTGATTTGGGTTGGAGATGAACTGTGCAGGACAGTCGACCGGCAGGAGCCGTGTTGGGCACCCCTGGTTTAAAGGGAGCATTGGATGTCCATTTTCCACAAGTTGATATATGCCAGTATGGGAAATATGCCCTAAGGCCGTGTGTCCACCAAAGCATTTTTAGCCATGCTTTGGGCACTTCAGAGCGTTTGGCCTCACAGCGTTTTTTCCATTGAGACGTTTTCGTTGCTATGATTAGGGCTGCGACGATTAGTCGACATTGTCGACAATAAAAAATTGCCGACAAATATCTTTGTTGTGGAGTAGTCGTTTGATCTCACGTGACCTAATGTAAGGGCGTGCAATATCGTGATTTGACCGCTACGGCGCTTTGTCGCTAGAGTGTAATGCAGCCCTTTATAAATGCAAGTGCGGTACAAGAAAAAGCAGCGCGAATTATGACGGAGTGCAAACGGATCCGAACTAGCAAGGTTTGGCAAAGTTTTACAAAACTTAAAACCTACAATTCTGTCATGTGCAATACATGCAAGGCAGAACTTGCTTTTCACGGGGGCACCACATGCATGTTGGAGCACTTTAAGAGGAAACATAGTGAAACTGTAGTGGTAACGTATCTCTTTATTAAATCATGCAATACTACTAATAGTAATAATATAATTACAGTAATGTGATTATTTATTTTGCATAGAATAAAGCTTGATTAAGCTTAGGAGTCGGGGCTGTTTTTATTATTGTAACACTATTTGGTGTTAGTCTTATCAGTCCCTCCAGGATTTCACGATTTTTTTTTTGTGATTTTTGCGATCAAAATGACTGATTTTGTGGTGGTAATTTCCAAAAATTTGTGAAAAAATTTGCGATTTATATTTAACATTTACCATAATAGTATTCAGTCCTTCCAGAGAAACACTGAGTTTTTTTTGTGATTGTTGTGGGCAAAAATTGATTGATTATGCGGCCAGTTTTCTTTAAAAATGCAATGGAATATGTGGGATATTTATGCAATTTTATGCGATGAAATTGCTGGAATTTGCAAAAATTGAGGAAACTTGCAAAAATTGCGGTTTGATGAAAAAGAGAAAAAAAGTGATTCCCCCAACATCCTGTTAATATAAGAGTCATTTCTTGTTACTTCCTTTGATAAGCAAGCATACTACATCATAGAAAGTGCTGGGAATATTTAATTTCTCATCTTGTTTTATTTCAGACTGTAACGAGTGTAAATAAGGTGTGGCCCCTTTAAGAGCTCTCTGCAGTGTTATATGTGCGCCTCGAACACCCCATGTGTGCGGGTAATTTCTGTTTGATGCTACTTCTTTTATCTCATGTTGTTTATTAAGTAACGATGTGACGGTAGAACGTTCGACAGACAGTTATACGAGTTCGATTTGTGAGATGTCAATCGCCTCCGCGAGTCTGTCTGGCGTCGCGTAATTGCGTCTCTTCATAACGTTCCCATGGAAACAGGGGGAAATGGCTGCTCTTGTGTGAAGCAAACGCAACATTTTTCAACTTTCTTTCGACTTTTTTTTGCAACGAAAATGCGAGGATTATGAAATTATGCAAACCCCGCATATTTTGCACGGAAATCGGTGCGGCGTATTTGAAAAAATGCGGCCCCCGCATAAATATGCGGACTTTGGCTAATTTTGCATTGAATTCAGCGATCGCATAATCGCGTTTTTCTGGAGGGACTGTCTTATTACTTGCCTGTATTTTGTTCCATAATCCTGAAGCCTTACAAAAGGAGATGTTTAGGAAGAATAACATGGCGGTTAGCCTAATTTTTCTTTTTCATTCTGTAAATTAAAAGGTGAATGAGAACATCTCTGTCAGCTCAATTCTCAAGTAAAAAAACTATTGTAATTTTATATCTATAATAATGGTTTGCAGATTAATATTTTACCCTTTTGTGTCCTGAAGTTATTAACCCATTTTCTGTTTCAGTTCTATGAAAAGCAGTGGGCTTATTAAACAATGCTTAGAGAGCATTTGTGTGTGATTTGAGTTAAACTTAAAGAGAATGACCTGTTTAGTTGGCTCTAAGTTCATGAAAACCACTATTTCAAAAGCTGAACTGATTTTCTTTTTTTATATTATAGTAAGAATATGTAACTCAATGTTTTAACTAATTGAAAAAGCTGAATAAGCGTTCCTAACTTAAAGATAATCGATGATTAGTCGATTAATCGTTCATCAAAATAATCGTTTGTTGCAGCCCTAGCTATGATACAGAATATCCGCAGCACAGTTTAACTTGTAACTGATTAAAAAACGCTCAGCGCCTCGTTATGCTAATGACGTTTAAAAAAAAACACGGCGCTCCCATTGAAAGCAATTGAAAACAAACCAGTCGCATGGAAAAACGCTTTGGTGGACACACGGCCTAATGTGGGAAATATGCTAATACGAGACAGTCCGTCAGCAGTCGTGGGCGGAGTATGAGCAGTATGACATCATATTGCTCACAAAATCCAAATGGTTTGAGTGTTCTGGCTTTTTGAGACAAAAAAAAGAGTGAATGGACTTTTCCCTTTGTATGGTGAATTTGTGTGGTATGAGCGCTGCTTAAAGGAGTAGTTCACTTTTGAAAAAACTTTTGCTGATAATTTACTCGCCCCCCTGTCATCCAAGATGTCCATGTCTTTCTTTCCTCAGTCGAAAAGAAATTTAGGTTTTTGATGAAAACATTCCAGGATTTTCTCCATATAATGGACTTCAATGGGAACCAAACGGTTCAAGGTCGAAACGACAGTTAATAACAGTTTCAGATGCAGCTTCAAATGTCTTTAAACGACACCAGACGGTGAATAAGGGTCTTATCATGCGAAACGATCGGTTATTTCAAAGCTTATTCCAAAAATGTAACTTTTCTAAGGACAAATGCCAGCCTTTCTCCATTCTGTGAGGCGCGTTTGCAACGTCACGTAATACGTAATTACGTTCAAAAGGTAACGGGCGACGTAGCCGGAAGTTCAGAGTCAGTGTTTACAAGTTGAACGCATAGGTTGAACGTGAAAACTAGCTCAAACACCGTTTACAAAAAAGGAATTAAAAGGTAAAACAACGATGTCGGACGATTTTGATTCTGTACTTCCGGCTACGTCGCCCGTGACCTTTTGAACGTAATTACGTATTACGTGACGTTACAAACGCGCCTCACAGAATAGAGCAAGTCTAGCATTTGTCCTTAGAAAAGTTACATTTTTGGAATAAGTTTTGAAATAACCGATCGTTTCGCATGATAAGACCCTTATTCATCGTCTGGAGTCGTTTAAAGACATTTGAAGCTGCATCTGAAACTGTTATAACTGTCGTTTAGACCTTGAACCGTTTGGTTCCCATTGAAGTCCATTATATGGAGAAAAATCCTGGAATGTTTTCATTAAAAACCTTAATTTCTTTTCGACTGAGGAAAGAAAGACATGGACATCTTGGATGACATGGGGGTGAGTAAATTATCAGCAAAAGTTTTTTCAAAAGTGAACTAACCCTTTAACCCTGTTGTTGTTGTTGTCCCGCTCAGCCTGAAGAAGGTGCGCTCCCGCGTGTGGAAGCAGCGCATCTGCAGCCCGCTCTTCAACACCAAACAGTACACGCTGGACCTGGAGCGGCTGTACCTGCAGATGTGGGAGCGTCACGCCGCCGGAGCCAAGCCCGACCACCTGGTGAAGATGCAGTCCGCGGAGAGCAGCGAGAGCACCTGAGCGAGGCCAGCACTGCATGTGTGTGTGTGTGTGTCAGAGACTCGATGAGCCACAGGTGAGCACGATCACCCCGGACAGCTTTAGTTCCCGCGAGCCGGACCCGGACCACACACACTTCCCCTTCGCCTGACGAAATTGATGTTTGTTGGCTCCACTGATTTTGTTTAGTTTGTTTTTCTGTGCTTGATTTGAAGTGGATCTGGAGATAATCCTGCAAATGTACACCAATAATCAACGCAGATAGGGTTTTTTTCTGTTTTTGTTAGTTAGCTTATGTGCGTCTTGAACTAGCTTGGCTTAACCCCGGGTGACGGATGCACACCTCGGATCTCCAGTCTCTCCCCAACCCAATGCCAACTCCGTGTCCGTATGCAGTCGATAGAAAATAATCCCTCTGTTGTTTTTGAGCACACGCTAAACAGAGGAGTGTCTTATTACACGCTGACAAGGCCTGCAAACCGCTCGAGTGTCGACTCCTGGCTTCTCTTTGTTTTTTTATGGTTTTACCAGGAAAGGTGTAGGTAAGTATGTTCTCCGATGTTTTGGTTTTGTACACTGTCTTCCTATGAACTGGTTTTATTTATGCTGTCGGTGTCACTTCCGCGAGGCTCTCTGCAGAAACTGAAATAAAGAGATGTGGCGAACCTCGGAGAGAGGTGCACGTGCTCGGCTGCGCTTCCGTTTTGTTCCAGTCCTTTAGGAGCCGACACATTATGAAACTAACAATAGTAACATCCTGAATACTGGTTATTGTGATTATATTGCTGTTACGTTGTTGCTGACTGAACTGTGATGTGCACCCATTGTAAATTTGATCGCTGTATTCAGTTTAGTTCAATAAAGAAATGCTAAAGATGTTTCTACACGGGGGTTGTGTGGCCTGTCCTCGATCCTGCACAGTGGGTTACAGCGTTCCTTCTTCAGGCCAGTCATAGATTTATGGGAATAAAAACGTTTGAATAAAGATCCTTTCAATGATTCAAGTTTCCACAGTGTGCTACGGCTTACTTTGTTGTTTTATTAGTTAATTTATTTACCTTTTTTTAAATGATTGAAAAGCAAATAAAGATCTTTGATAAGTGAAATCTCTGTCTTTGATGCCATTGCTTTGGTGTTCTCATCTGGATCACACACACACCGTTCGTACACTCGTCTGGGAGATCCAGTCAGAAGGTTTGCATCTGTTATAATGGATATTATACACGAATATAAAAGCAAATATATTTGTTATAATGTTGATGATTATGGAGTACAGATATGAAAACCCCAAAGTCAAAATTAGAATATTGTGAAAAGGTTTTCATAAACTATAATCCATTATCAACATTATAACAAATTAATGCTTGAAATATCCCACTTTGCATGTAATGCGTCTATATAATAACAGTTTCACCTTTTAAGGTGAATTACTTAAATGAATGAACTTTTGCACCATATTTTAATGTTTAGAGTTTCTCCTGTAAAATTGCCATATGTGTATTGGTTTCATTTTTTTTAAACTTTAGCAATACACAAAGACAAAAAAAAAAAAAAAAACTTAATGTGCTTTAAATATCAAATTAATCCAGTATTGTATGTTTCATGTTTGCAGCCTCAGAATAAAGTGTTCAATAACTAGTTTGACAATTATTTTTATATTTTTCATGACACGTATGGATCTCTTCACATTAGATTTCTATTGGACTAAATTGAATTTGAAACTAGCTGAGCAAACATTTATTTTAAAATCATTTGCGGAATTAAACCTGCTAATGTTTACACACAAATAATGTTATATTAAAAACAAATAATATTTTTTAGCTCTTTGTATTATTAGTCTATTCAAATTGGGCATTTCTATGAACACTCCGTTGCCAATTATAACTTATAAGTTACATGTTGAATTGGCTATTTCTGACGTTAAAACGGAAACGTTTGCTTTTTACTGATATTATTATGATCAGTGCATGCAGATATAAGTTAATTAGAAACATCTTCATTCAAAACATGTAAATGTTTTGTTTATTTAATTAATGAAATATTAGGCTTTTTGGCAAATCGGTAAACTGTAGGGTTGTGTTGTGTATGATGATTATAAACCCCTCTCTAGGAGCGCTGCTGAGACCGGAAGTTTTTATTCCTCACACTGATGACGGTTTCCGGTGTGGTGAATTTGAATGTTGTGGAGTCGCGTACCGAGCTGATGATTTGAAGCGTATTAAGTTCTGCTTGTGCGACTGAAGGCGCGATATATCGACACGCTTTTATAAGGTATGTTGAACTAACTAAACATTTTGTTTAGTGTGTTAGTAAGCGTGTGAGCATGGCACATGCTCGGCTGTTTAGCCTCAGTGAATAACGTAATGTGTTCAGAAAGATATCAAACGGTCATAAATCGATCTTGCCATTGGTCATGTCTTAATTCTAGTTTTATGTTATATTAATGTTTAATATCTATTATTGCATGTGCACCCAGTTTTAGCAGTTTCGTATTAATAATAATGTACTTTTTAATACTACTGTAACTTGTTTTTAAAGTTAATGTATAGTCCACATTCTTAATTAATTTTATTCATCATAATATTTCAATGTAAACACAATTTTACTTGTATTTTAATAGTTAATGTATTGTATTCGTTATAATCACCTATTTCAATGCAAACATGATTTTACTAGTTTTAAGTTGTATTGTATTCATCATATATTTAATATTTGAGTAATTTATTATCTATTTCACTGCAAACATAATTTTACTCTATTTTAATTGGAGTAGTAAAACCATGAAAGCTACATTTTCCGTATTTTACTCGTTTTTTAAAAGTTAATGTATTGTTTTCATCATATATTTAATGTTTTATTGAATGTATTTATCCAATGTAAACACATCATTTAACTAAGTTAATGTATTGTATTAATTTAATATTTTACCAATTTTATTCATCCATTTTAATGCAAATACACAATTTTACTCATTTGTTTTATAAATTAATGTATTGTATTCATCACGTATTTAATATTTTATTAGTTTTATTCATCCATTTCAATGCAAACATAATGTGATGTAAATGTATTCATCATGTATTTAATAAGATTTAGTCACGTGACCGGAGGCGATGGATCCCGGGACCGTGTCTCTGTTTCAGAGAGTCTCAGAGAAGCTGGGCTGGGACAGACACGGGGGTCTTCATGAAGCTGAAGAGAAGGTTAGTGCTTATAATCAACATTTTACAAAACAACCCGTCCCATGATCCCGTTTCACCACTGCCTGTCCTTCTCTCGCAGCTGAGGAAGAGCTTGGGGAAGAGCCGGCGTCCAGCGCTGGGCAGCTTCAACACCGCCGGCTCGGGCAAGGAGAATCACACTCCGGAGGAACACCTGACTTCAGATGATGACGACTTCCATCAGTGTAAGGCTGATCCCAGATCACACACTCCCCTACTGTAGACACCGCCGTTCAAGAGTTTGGGATCGGGAAGAGTTTTATGTTTTAAAAGAAGTCTCTTCTGCTCATCATGGCTGCATTTATTTGATTGAAAAGCAAAACATGCTAATATTGTTAAATATTATGACAATTTAAATCATCAGTTTTCTGTGTGAATATAGTAAAGTGTAATTTATTCCTGTGATCAAAGCATCATTACTCCAGATCCTTCAGAAATCACTCTAATATGATGATTTGCTGCTCAGGAAACACACTACATTCACCATGTTGTCATTATCATGTGATCTACCAGTCACTTCACTGTCATTCATAACTCCTGCCCCGTGGCATCATGGGATAGTGTCCATCAGATGCACACTTCAAAATCTCACCAGAAGTTGTCGGCCATCCGCTACTTTTTCCTACTCATGACATAAATACTGTGCATTCAGCCAAAAGAAACGCTATAGTAGGGAAGTACATGACTTCAGATTGGTTCCGGTTGAACACTTTATTTGCTTGCGTGGGATCTTAAAGGGTTAGTTCACCCAAAAATGAAAATTCTGTCAGTATTTACTCACCCTCATGTTGTTCCAACCCCGTAAGACCTTCGATCATCTTCGGAACACAAATTAAGATATTAAGATCTCTCCTGCATACTAGTCCATAGGCTTCTTGAGGGACTGGCTCTTGCTGGCATCTAAAAGTCATTAAAGACATCGTTAAAATAGTCCAAGTGACTACAGGGGCTCAATCTTAAGTTTATCAAACGACGAGAAGACTTTTGTGCGCAAAAACAACAAAAATAACGACTTTATTTCAACTATTCACTTCCTTCTCCATGGGCCTGTAGTCAGTTAACGTAGTGTGATTGCGTAAAGCTACGTCACACGAAGGCTCACTATTGGCCGACGGTGGTCATGTGTGTGATGCGTGTGACGTACAATAACAGAAGCTTACGCTATTAAACTAGTAACCTGACTCGCGCAGAGGGAGAAATAAACCAATAGTTGAAATAAAGTCGTTATTTTTGTTGTTTTGTTCTCGTCCTTTGATAAAGTTAAGATTGAGCCGCTGTAGTCACTTGGACTATTTTAACGATGTCTTTAATGACTTTTCGAGGACATCAAGTGTCATTCCCTCAAGAAGCCTATGGACTGTATGCAGGAGTGATTTTAATATCTTAAATATCTTGAACGAAGATAAACGAAGGTCTTACGGGGTCGGAACAACATGAGGGTGAGTAAATACTGACAGAATTTTCATTTTTGGGTGAACTAACCCTTTAAGGTATGCAAAGAATGAATTAATTGTTTGATTTTTATTTCTCCAGTTCTTGCTGCAAAGGCTACACCAAAATCCACATTAAAACAATCTGCATCAGCTGCCCGGAAGCCAAGGTGAGCATGTTATATATGAAGAGCTCTTTTCCAAAAAGCGATAAACGCCATTTTAAAAAAAAATGAGTTTGTCGTGTCATTCTGCTGTGGACAGAACCCTTTCACTGCTCCATCAACGTTTCATGCCGAATCGCTATATTTCCTTGTTTAAAATGTACTGCAAGATACAGTTTCTTTCCAAGCCGCGATAAGCGCCAGCCCTGTTTTTAGCCTAAACACGATAAATCCTCAAATTCAATGAGCGCTCTACACAATCCAGCACGGCGGCACTCTGAACAGAGGTTTATTATGTTCATTTATTCCTCAAAATGAGTCCTAGTTTTCTAGTCGACTAGTAGTAGATCATTTATTTAAGCCATTTGTATTATCAGTAATCACATATATTGATTTAATTAAATGGGAGAGAAACCATATGAGCGTTTTTAATTGCCTATTCCGCATTTCAACGTATGCATAAAGCTTGCCACAAAGAACCGGCAAAAAGTAATGATTATGCATGAAACATTTGAATTGTTTATTAATAAACTAGTGTTTTCTGTCAGTGTCAGCAACAAAGATAAAGTTGATGATGCTTACTCGCCATCTTCGCAGTGAACGCGCATAGGCCTATAGAAACGCATACTTCGAATTAGCCTACATACGCAGAGAGTTGCCAATTTATTTTAGTTTTTAATTGTTTTGTTTAAAAGTAGATATTTAAAGCTTTCTGTAGCTTAGTTCTCAGGCCTGTGTGAGGCAAGCATCGCGGTGTTTCGGTTCATATTATGAGACGCGCTCCGGTTCACCTGCGTGCCTCTGTGTCCTGATTATATTGTCTGATATTTACTTCTAATGTATTAATCCAGTCAATTTGTCGATGAAACATTTATTAAAATGAAGATACAATTTATATGAAACGAAATTTACAAGCTTTCTACAAAACAAAACTTAATAAGTGGTCAAAATCATGTCTGACGCACTCCAAATATTTTCCGATATTGGGCAGCTTTTGAATTTTGATCCTATCTTACTCATCTCATGCGGTTCCCTTTTCATAGCCTACTCAACATGGATGAAATAATAAAAATAAGTAATGTAATATTATTAAAAACAAATGTGAAACGTATATTTTATGTTTATTTTTTATTTTTGTATTTTTTTAACTTATATTTAAGCGTCATGCTGCTCCGCTTTGCTCACATGTTATGTAGCTTGTGTGTGTGTGCATGTGCTGGAGGGGTGCCCATCCCTTTTTTGAATATCGTTATCATATATTGATCATTTTTAATAATTCGTTTTTTTTCATGCATATGTTGAAATTGGTACTATTTGTTTGAGGTTTGACTCTTTACTAAAAATGACTTTACTAAAAATGATACAAAAAATGGATGGATTTATAGCGTTTTGGAAAAAAATAAAATTAACTTTTAAATTATCATTAACAATATTGTTGTTTGATTTAATAATTATTGTTCAAAATGTTCAGACTGAACCAATAAAACATTTAAACAGGATAATTTGAATATTCACAAAATGTGTGGGTCTAGGTAAAAAATGTAGTTTTCCTGAAAACTATGGGCTATATGCACGCATAAATTCCGCATTTGACGTAAGGATGCTCGTCCATTTCCGGTTGTGTAGATTAAAGCGGAGGAAAACCGGAGAAAACGGGATTATGGCAGAGTCTTCAATATTTACTGTCCTCCCGTCTTTGAAACGAAACGTACATACGTTTAGATGTAATTTTATATATAGTTATGTTTATTTAATATAATTTTAAAAAGAAGCATAAACACAACGAGGGGTGTCTGTTTTATCTGTTTTTGTGACTAACGTTTCATTAGTATAACCATGGAGTATAAAATTCAATATAAATTCGGTATTGCATTGGACTCTATGATCGGCGGAAGTTATCGAGCATCCTTAATCCTTCACCGGAAATAACGCCGTGCATAGAGCCCATTGAAATGGATTTATAGCGTTTTGGAAAAGAGCTCTTCATATGTGAAACGTACTTCAGTGGTGTGGTAGTCTACGTAAATGCCGTGCCGTCTGGGTTTGCGCAGCGACACCGAACGAATCGCGGAATCCAGAAACAAATGTAACTTAGCCTAGTACTGTAAATAATTAATATGCAGAATAAAGGGGCGTGGCTTAGATGAGTTAGTTAGTAGTGTGTTAAACTGGCGGGTAAGGAAAGGGGCGGGACATTTCCCAAACACACTCGAAGCGCTCGACCAATCACAGCACACTGATTAGGGCTGACTATCTTCCTCTACAATACTATTCGAATTCCATCTTTTATTTTATTTAATCATGATGTAAAGGATGTGTGTGATTAGGCCTACTATTCATGTTTGAGGAAACAGTTAAGACACCAAACATATTCTGATTAGAGAAAAACACTTTTATTGAAAGGTTTTGGTTTGCTCTTGGGGGTAGCACCTACCTACTTTATGGGATCATCATCTGAAAGGCTAATATTGTGGATTTTGATTGGATCTTGGGATGGGGTAAATAAAGGCTTATGGTAATTGTCTATAATGCCTATTCTTATTTTTTTTATAGTTAAAATAAAATAAATACACTACAAGGAAACCTGAAGTTCCACAATTTAGGCTTAAATTTAAATTTCACTTAAAAAAAAGTGGAAGAATGTATACTTTGAAATAAGATAATATGTTATGCTATGCTTTTATTTTTATGCTTAATGTCCTATGTTGAAGAGAGAAGCGTTGTTCACTGTATTAGTTGTAATTCTTGCCTTTTAATGGGTTTAAATTCATATAATGCAGTCATTATGTTTGCATGGACAAATTGGGATTGTATTTACATGAAGAAAATCTTAATAAAAAAATTTTGGCCAAAAAACGTTGTGTACATAATAAATGTGTTTGCTATGTTAATGGACTGGGGATGCGAGTAGGACTCGGATTAACCAGTGGATTCGGTGTCGGTCGAACCCCATATAAACTAAATCACCTTTTTTTCTTCCTCTAGAGAACCGATTCCAGTTTTGTCTTCAGATAGTGACGATGACTTTGAACTGTGTAAGTTCTTCATCAACCGCTTTCAAATCAAATAAGATGTCACACAGTTTTTACATTTACATCTTTCTGTCCAGTTTTAAATCGAGTGAAAACCCCTCAGACTAAAGCCAGGCCTCAGTCGGTGAGCAGCGGTGATGACCGGTCAGTGTTGCAGATGTACACCAGTTCATCATCATTCATCTCGACTGTCAATCACCCGTTGTTATTTCCCCCCTCAGTTTGAAACGCTTCATAGTGGACAGCCTTTCATCCGATGAGGATTTTGTCTCTGAGAGGAAGCCTTCCGTCAATAAAGGTATGTTTCTTTAAAGTCACATGACCAATCTTATTTTTTTTAATGGAATTTTAGCAGTATTTATTTATCATTATTGTGCTAAACTCATGTTGAATCAGAATAACTTCCCCTCCCTCCATCAGCGACACCTTCTCTTTCCTACATTTGCTCCAGAAGCGTCTCTCTTGGATATTTACGTCACAATAGGGAAGAAAAGATACATTTCTGTTTCCTGACAACTTTAAAATGCTCAAACTGCACATTATTTATCAGTCTTTCTATGCAAACAGGTGAACACATAAAGTCCCCCTGTAGTCAATCATTGTATCCTTTAAAGGGTTAGTTCACCCAAAAATGAAAATTAAGTCATTAATTACTCACCCCCATGCTGTACCAACCCCGTAAGACCTTCGTTCATCTTCGGAACACAAATAAAGCTATTTTTGATTGAATCTGAGAGCTGGATCACTCTTCCATAGACAGCCTGAGGGACTGCCTCTTGACGGCCCAGAAAGTCATTAAAAGAAAAGGTTTAAATGTTCCATGTGCCTACAGTGGCTCAACTATAACTTTATCAAGCGACGAGACTACTTTTTGTGCGGAAAAAAAACGTAAATAACGACTTTATTCGACTTTCCATTACTTCCTTATGGGCGCATGCGCGAGAACTGAGACGAGACCGTTCTTCTTCGACTACTTTTTGTTACCGGCTGCTCACCGCTTAGGAGTTTTACCGCCCCCTACCGTATAAGATGACGTACTGATATAGCCGGAGGCGCAAAACGTTCTGTTTACAAGCAGTACGTCATCTTATACGGTAGGGGGCGGTAAAACTCCTAAGCGGTGAGCAGCCGGTAACAAAAAGTAGTCGAAGAAGAACAACCTCGTCTCAGTTCTCGCGCATGCGCTCATAAGGAAGTAATGGAAAGTCGAATAAAGTCGTTATTTACGTTTTTTTTTCGCACAAAAAGTATTCTCGTCGCTTGATAAAGTTATAGTTGAGCCGCTGTAGGCACATGGAATATTTAAACCTTTTCTTTTAATGACTTTCTGGGCCGTCAAGAGCCAGTCCCTCAGGCTGTCTATGGAAGAGTGATCCAGCTCTCAGATTCAATCAAAAATAGCTTTATTTGTGTTCCGAAGATGAACGAAGGTCTTACGGGGTTGGTACAGCATGGGGGTGAGTAATTAATGACTTAATTTTCATTTTTGGGTGAACTAACCCTTTAAGACTGGAGATGCACTGAAATTTCTGAAATTTATTAAAAGATGCACAACTCTGATAATAATAGCTTTGTTGGATTATACATTATTTTGAATATTGATCAAAAAGTAAATCTTGTAAAACTGATTCTGTTGCATAGAACTGAATGAAGAATAATATATTGATATAAAGATATGAAAATATTGATATTTTTTATATATATATATATATATATATATGTGTATGTGTGTATATATGTATATATATGTGTGTGTGTATTTATGTGTATATATATATATATATATATATATATATTTGTGTATATATGTATGTATATATATGTATTTAGGCCTATTTTCGGTCCAATTTTTGTTACTTTAAACAGAAGCGTGGTTATTTTATTTGCTTGTATTTAAAAAAAAAATATAATAAATAAAAATGCAATTATACAAAAACCTAATTTAAAATAAGAAATGAATAAAACAAATTTGGTTTTGATTTTCGGAAAATTTTGAATTTCGGCGCATCCCTACTTAAAACTCATCTTTGATCACCAAAACGACATTTAAACTGTTTTACCTTGAATATCAAACTGCTTCATGCCTTAAAATATCTTGAATGTAACTCGACACCCCTGCCTCATTTAGTATGCACGGTTCTATGGATATGCAAATGAGCCCCGCCTCCACTCACTCACTCCCTCAGAGATCCACTGGTTGATGATCACCCGTTGATCTGATTGGTTACAAGGTCGTTTGTGACGTCAGAAACACCAGCGATTTCAAAGCGTGTCTTTGGTTCACTGCAGTTTTAAGGAGGAAATACTCAGCAATGCTGTCCACTTATCAACTTACACAGCAGATTAAACACACCACATACACACATAAACAACATTAAACGCTGGATTTTCACCACAGGGGGACTAACATTTTGACATCTGCTTCCAAAGTGTGATATAAATGATATTTGCTTAGCCATCATATTAATAAACGAATGCTTATTTCCGGTTCTGACCACACACACCACTGTTCCTTTAATATAAAATAGCCACACTATCAAGTTTCGTGTGTTTGTTGTTGTACAGGGAAAGCCAGTGCTAGAACTCCTAACCCCGTCCAGAGGAGCGAGAAACGCCCCCCGCCCCGCTGTGACCCCCCGGTGTTCCTGAGCGACAGTGATGAGGACGGTAGCGCTGTGATCACGAGCACCTGGAGGACCCGACACACCCGAGAGGACAAGCCTCGTGTCCCGGTGACTCCCAGCGCCGGAGACGACACCGGCAGCTCCGAGGAGGAGTTCCAGTCGTTACTGGAGCGGGTCCGGCAGAACCAGGGCCTCGCCGGCCGAGCCCAAGCCAGCCCGAGGACGCCTGCAGGTACAGCTCACACACACCTTCTAGTAGGGCTGTAGTCAAGACCAGCTTTGTCGAGTCCAAGTCAAGACCGAGTCCAAAAAGGTTCGAGTCCGAGTCCAGGACAGGAAAAAAAAAAGTCTTCAGGGCCTGAATTTCGTTTTTGCCAAACTTGATCTTGCCTAAATGTTTGTGCTCATTGCATTTTTTTTTACAATGGGGGTAACGTTGTTAAGAATTTACACAACACAAGGCTTGATTTAAATTGCTCAATTAAATTGAAAAAAGTTGCACAAATAAATACAATACAATAAAGATGCAAATAAAGACAAATAAAGAGAAACGTTTTTGAATAGGTCTAACGGTAACACTTTACAATAAGATTCATTAGTTAACATTAGTTAGCATGAACTAATAATGAACAGCACTTATACAGCATTTATTAATCTTTGTAAACGTTAATTTCAATATTTACTAATACTTTATTAAAATCTTGTTAACATTAGTTAATGCGCTATGAACAAACAATGAACAGCTTTATTATCATTAACTAACATCAACGAAGATTAACAAATACTGTAACAAATGTATTGCTCATGGTTAGTTCATGTTAGTTAATACATTAACTAATGTTAAATAATGAACCTTATTGTAAAGTGTTACCGGTCTAACACTAGTATTCATAGACAGAAACTGAATAAAGTAATCAAATGGAAAATAACTCTGGTATGGTGTACATTTTAGGACATCCTCAGACCTCAGACATATGAAGACAAGGCATCATGCCTCAGACTAAAAGGCTTCAGGTCTCAGGAAAAACAATGTCAGGTGTCGGGTCTCGTACAATTAGGCATCAGACAAAACAGCCTCAGACTAAAAGGCATCAGGCGAAACGAACTCAGATGGAGTTTGGAGGTTGTTCCCTCATCACAAACGAGTGTCTCCGAGCGTCAGACGAAACGCAGTAATCACGGTCATGTTCTCTTGTGATCGGATACTGGTGTTCAGGAACATACTCGTGTGTGTATATATTTTTATGTTATGCAAATGTTGGTGTTTCCATCCAGCGTGTGTGTGTTTATTTAAATTTTTTGTGATTTAAGTTTGCGTGAGATTTCAGCCGAGTGGGAGATCCTTAAAGCTGTCATTTCTTAAACATTTCTGTGAAGTTTTAAATATTGTTCATTCGCCAGTTTTAAAGTCCCCGTGAAATCAAAATTAAACCTATGTACTTTGTTAGCGCATATTACTAGTCTTGTGGTGAACAATTAATCCGTGCAAGTAAATATATATTAAAAAAAATGTTTTACCTTGGTAATCTTTAATCAAAATCTGAAAAGTTACTTCCGGTCTGGAAACGGTTTCCTTTTCTGATGACGTAGGCTTCACAGTTTGGGTGGGGAAACGCTTAACCACTCCCCTCAAACCGTTAGTCTGCTATGAGCGAGAGATGGAGAGGAGGAGCGCTAGAGTAAAACCCTGCCCTCTGTTCAATATTCCGTTTCACTTGGAAATACGTTTGCAACTTCCGGTTCACGGGGACTTTAAGTTTGTTATAAGTTTGACTGTCTGAGTGAGTTGATCAATCTTTGAAGTATCAGTTAAAAGCAATAAACCAATCCCCATGTGGCATCGCTTTCCAGCAGAAGTGTGTTTATACAGGGGTTGGACAATGAAACTGAAACACTGGCCAATGTTGGAGGTTTCACATCTATATGCCTGGCGGCCAATCTTCAGAGTGAAGCACGGGTGGATCAGTGATGGTTTGAGCTCCAATATCATGACAATCCTGATTGTATTTGATGGACTCGACACTGCCGAGGACTACCAAACCCTTCTGGAGGATCATGAGCACCTGATGCTCAAACCGCATGATCATGCACCAACACACACAGCAAGACTTGTGACAGAAGAGTTTGATGAAGATGAAAGTGACGTTGAACATCTCCCATGGTCTGCACAGTCACCAGATCTGAATATTATCGAGGTGTTTTGGAGGAGCGAGTCCACCAGCATCATATAGTGACCTGGACACTGTTCTGGAAGAGGAACGGCTCATAATCCCTCTGGTCACTGTGAAGGACTTCTATCTGTCAATTGGTGCTGTATTTGGATGCAAAATGAGGCCCTCACCATTCTAACAAATTATTGTGTAGTAAAACCGGGTGTTTCAGTTTTTTTGTCCAACCCCTGTAGGTCCCAGCAGTGATGGAGATGCGTGATTTCCAGCTATAATTGCAAATGGTTTTCTCTCTCGATGTAGAACCCAAACCACGAGCTCCCTGTTTGTCCACCCCGTCTGCCGTGGGTAAGAGAGCTGGTACCGGAGCGCCAGTCACCCAGAGTCCTTTGAGCCGACCCGTGAGCCGAACCGAGCCCAGAGCGCCTCCCAGCAGCAGGTACTGGGAACAGCAGTGAGAGACGTGCAGCAAACAAATGTGTGGGTCCTCCCCCAGAAAAATAGCACTGGAGTAATGGTGCATTCATGTCCTATGGTAATTATGGCAAACACCAAAAGCTGACGTGGACAATGCGCATGAACACCCCCTCATGTGGTCCACTTTAGTGTTGTCAAAAAACTCGGTACTTCAGTACCAAGTCGGTACTAAAAAAAAAAAAATGTTACGGTACCAGCTTTTCTAGGTACCGAATACCAGGTTAATCCAGTTCTAGACGCGCTGTCTGAAAGGTGCACAGTTGCGTCCTCTTCATATTGCTGATATGCTCTCTCTCTCTGAATCCACTTGTTGACACGAAAGGAGGAAAGAGCCACATACGGAAATATTTTGGATTAGGCTAATGTCACGTTGCCATAAGAGGCCGATTACATGCAAATTCGCAATTTCAAATATAGGCGCGAGGCAAGCGCGCTCATAATAAAAACTCGTTGCATAGCAACGACAGACGCCGCGTGAGAGCAAGCGCTTTGGAAAGAATAAGCACGCGCAAAAATAAAATAAAAAAAAAACACGTGCGATATGTGAACGGCCTCTAAAGTGCTTTCGGGGTAGTATCACAGTAGTATCCACCCGACACCAGAGTAGGCTACTGGTATTAGTATCGACGCATCCCTATTTATGTCATTTAATGTCAGTGCCAGTTCTAGGCGTATTCTTGCCTTTATAACTCAGCAGTTTTAAAAAGCCTTTTCAAAATTAAATATGAAATAAAAGCACAGTCAAATCAAATAAAACATGTTTTTTCTCCTGTAGCCTATAGTTTGGTGATGCTACAATAAGATACCATTCATCAACATTAGCTACTTCACATCAACACATTGAGTGAACAATATATTTTTACAACATTGATTAATGTTTGTAAATGTTATTTAATAGAAACACTTGATTGTTCATGTTTGTTCACTTCATTCATTGTGCATTAAATACATGTTATCGGATTAGAACTTTACAAACAACTTTAAAAATGTGTTCGTGTATACTATTGTTTATTTTAGGTCATTTTATCTATTTTTTTTCTAAAGTGTTTATAATACATATGTACAGTTTCCATACTTGTAACCGTGATAAACACTTAAATATATGTAAATTTAAACTAAGCTTTGGTACCGAAATTGGTACCAAGAACCGTGAATTTTTACTGGTATTGGTACCGAATACTGAAATTTTGGTACCGTGACAACACTAGTCCACTTGGTAACTTGTAGAATGCCTAAGTTGCCTAGATGGGAACCTTTGACGTTTTCAAAATGCCGGAGAGTCGTGAATGGTAAAAATATGTACTGTTCATGATCTAGAAAATATATATATATAATTACACAGCATATTATTTACCGTTTGAGTTTTGATGAATCATTTTCTTGCTGTAGCAGATGACTAAAAATAGTTTTAGCTGAACCACATTACGACAACAAAAGCACTTGAAACCAACACACTGGTAAATACCAGTTCACAAGTGGAAAATATCATGTTTTCCGCAGCACGTGAAAGCACCATTTCATGTATTCTGGTGCCTTTCTAATTAAACCAGTAAATTAAACTCCACTTCATGTCGGGCGGTTCATGTTGTCAATTAAAGGAGTAGTTCGCTTTTTAAAAAAAACTTTTTCTGATAATTTACTCGCCCCAATGCCATCCAAGATGTCCATGTCTTTCTTTCTTCAGTCGAAAAGAAATGAAGGTGTTAGTGATGATGATATCCAAACATCTAAAACTTTCACTCTATGATGTAAACTTCAGCAGTTAATCCGTTAGCGAGCCAGCGCATCTGCCCACACCTGAGCCGTACTCGTGCCGGATGATGACGCTCGTACCCCTCTGTTCCCGTTTGCCAGAACGCTGCTGTGTAAAACCCCCGGATGCTTCCTGCAGTCTCTGGCTGATCCCGGATCCTCGTTCTGCCGCAGCTTCAGACAGAAGAGAGAGGAGCTGACCGCCAAACTCTTCCAGCTCTACAACTCCAGCGTGTTTGACAGTCAGGTACATGAGAAGCAACAGGGTTCGAGGTCATGTTCACTGTGTACTGCATGTTATATTAAAGGGCTCATATAATGGTATATGCACTTTTACAGGTTGGTTGTACTGAAATGTGTGTTGTCAGTGCCTGTACACAACCATCATATAATGATAATCTATCCAGTGTTTTTTATTTTTATTTTTTTATTTCATTGTTTCCCCTGCCTCAAATTGAGCCGTTTGTTTTTGTGATATCAGTCGAAAGAAATTAAGATATTCCTACGGGTCGAAGGTCCAGATACAGCGAGTTTCTCGACACAATTCAGCCGAGGAATAAGAGTCTCATCCAGACAAACCAGCGGACATTTATAACAAAAATAAGCATTTTTATATTTTTTTTAACCACAGATGCTGGTCTTGCACTCGCTGTGATGCGTAATCACATTGAAAGGTGTTTTTATGTCTCATCTCACACACATACACGCAGGTTAAGGTGTTTTAAGGACAGAAATCAGGGAAAAGATGGTTCATTCTTAAGCTGTCTATGACCTTAGGCCGGCAAAGGGAAATGGTTTAACGTGTTTACGTGACCACACACACACACACGCTGTCGTCTTAAGCACTATCGGGTTAAGAACGAGCGTGTAAACACACTCGATGTAGGCCGTGGAGATGGATCGAACAAGCGCTAATACATTATTGAGACCTGAGGGTGACCTCTGACCTGAGCCAGAAATCAACATTTCACTCTAACTCGGTCCCTCGCACTGTAAGGCATCTTTCCCTCGTTGGTCAAATTTATACTTCCAGAAAGATCATTTTATTTCATTTCGATAATTTTTTTTCTATTTTTAGTTTATTTACCTTTTTAAATTACTAGATTTGATCTGTAAATTGTATTTTAAGGACATTCCTCACATTCTTTCAACTAAAAATTCGAAATAACTCAATTTCACGCTAACCCTTTTAATTCAGCTCAAAACCTCTCACATTGGGCGAGGTTGCTGACCTCTTGTTGGAAAACAATTGTGTATCATCTAGAGCCTGACCGATAAAAGATTTTGAAGGGCGATACAATACAAATATTTTGGGGTTTTAAAATCCGATATATCTGCCGATATTTTTTTATTAAATATATTTGGATTTCACACACGTGTAAAAGAAAAGCGAACTTTTCTGCAAAAGATACGTTTGATACTTTTTCTCTATGTCTAAATGTTCACTTCTCGCAAGTTTAACTTACATTTTACCATGTAGGGACTGTAACTAGAGATATGCTAGTTATAAATACAGTAATCATTACTTTATTTAGGCAGAAAAAGTTCATTGTGGTTTCCAAGCTCATTAATGTTAACGTTAGCGGTCTTCCACTGATGATAGTGGCATTAGCTAGCTTTGTGGTTAGCTAGTCTATGATGAGCCATAATTTAGCAATAGATAACATCATACTGCAAATTTTAAAACATACATTTTCAATATAACAGGCCAAGGAGAGATGATTGAAGCGTGTTTCGTCCGTTTTTATTTTATTTTTTAAATATTCATTTATCGGCCATTATAACTTCCGATACCGATATTATGGAAAATGCCTAATATCGGCCGATAATATCGGTCTGGCTCTAGTATCATCATAATATTTCATAACACTTGCCACTCTGTTCCTCTGGGTCCTAAAGTCAGTTCTCTTCAGTAAGCATTTAGATGTACATTTAGACATTACACACTTCATTTTATGGGTGAAGTTTGAGCATTTTTACTGAAGCATTCCTCGCATCCATTCATTCCTAAGGGGGTCAAAGTGACCCGCGAGCGAAGGATTTGTTACTTTTTACAATTTCAACCACAAAACTCCTTTTATGTATGTTTGTGTTTCAAGTGCGACTAGTTGGACCCCTCTCATGAACTCTCATTAAATTATCAATTAAAACACCTTAGCAATTGTGTAGCATTGCACTGTCAACCAGTCACAACATTTTTAGGCTAATTTATACCGACACTGACCAACGGCGACAACCACCAGATTCACATAGAATGTGTTTGTTTTTTACAAAAATACAGTATTGATGTCTTTCGCATCATTACAACTTAGCATATCTCAATTTGTACAGGACTCACATCTTCAAGATTAATGAACATAAAAATAAAATGAATAAATAAATTAATTGAAAAAAAAAAAATAAGTAAAAAACACATACTAACTATTAAGGCCTCCTAATACAAATACATCCTATAATCTCACATATGTTCAATTGTCTCTTTAAACAGGTCACTATCCTCTTTCTCTATGAATGATCTAAAGGGATTCCAAACATCCTCAAAAATCTTACCCTTTCCTTTAATAATATATGAAGAGTTTGGTTCCAAAACGCTATAAATCCATTTTGATGAATTTGAGTAAAACTGTGTTTTCTTTAGCAAGAAAATGGGAAGATGAAAACCACTATTTTCGGTTTCAAATTTTCACATAGGATTTGTAGGTTATAATAACAATAAAAAATGAAATCCAGGTTTTGATTTCCAAAGATTTATTTTAAAAACAGATCGTTTTTTTCCCCAAAATGCAATAAATACAATAATTTATTTTTTTTAAAAATGCAATTAATCAAAATAAAATTTTATACACATTGAATTTCTTGTGCATACTCTAAATCCATTGCTTTAATATAACAATATTCGGTAACACTTTAAGGGTTCATGTCATGAATTATCATGAATTCATGGATAAATGAATTATGCATTAATTCATATTAATATCATCAGGAACTAACAACGTTTTTTTTAACAGTTCAACGTTTTTCATTCATGACTTCATGGATGAACAAAACCGTAATTAAAACATTAACTAAGACGAGCACATCATCATGAATTATGATTTATTAAGCATGATCTAACGATATCGCTGTTGTCAACCTTGGGACGTCGCCGCTGAACTTTTTTGACGGCGATCAGCTGTAAACTGGCTCGGTCCTGCTCGGTTTTCGTTGACTTTGAATAAAACAACTGAAAGTTTTCCAAAAGATCCTCTGGGGGTCAGTGTGTCAGAAGTTTGATGCTGTCGTGTGAGAACAAGCAACAGCCGGCATTTCCTCCTCCCGAGTCCATCTTCTTCCTCACGTAAACGATTCGATTTCGATGTCACGTTTACCCATGCAGGATGCCTTACCCTCCGCAGGTTCACCAATGCTGTCAAAATTATTAATTTTTTTGTTTGTTTGTTGATCGAAAGGACAAAATAGAGAAAACCTAGGAAGCCGGGTTAGTTAAAGCGCTGCCGTTACTGTTTACATTGCGTGGAATGGTGCGTTGTGATTGGTTTAGCGGATATGTGGCATTTTGCAGAAAAGGGAGACTGGCGTTTGTCGCGGTTTGGAAAGAAAGGGAGAAAACATTACATAATAACACGGCGGATATCCCATTTTACGTAAAATTAAACATTGTTTTGTATCTGGTCGGTATTGAAAATCAGATTTTTGCAATAATTCATTTTTTTTTTTAAATGGCGTTTATCGCGTTTTGGAACCAAACTCTTCATATGTTATTTTCACCATGGACATATTCAGTACCATCTCCCTGAGCCACCTTTTTATGCTAGGTGGTTCTAGATTCCTCCAAACACAAAATGTGTTTTAAAACGCAGTTTGCAAAACTGAAGATGCAGTGCGGTGGAATGAGATAAAAACCTGTCTCTGGTTGTTTTAAAATCATTACTCCCCACCCCTCAGCTTCCCGCGGACATGTCCGTCACATGGAACAAGAAGATGCGCAAGACAGCGGGGTATTGCGTCTCGGGCCAGGAGCGCGGCACTGGGAAACGATACGCCCGCATCGAGCTGTCCGACAAAGTGTGCGACTCTGCAGGTGCTCGTCTTCACCGTTTTAAAATGCTCAACAGCTCAACTGATGCTTGCCGGTAAACGCGATGTGTTTCCCCTGACAGATCGTCTACGGGACACGCTGGTGCACGAGTTGTGTCACGCTGCCACGTGGCTGATTAACAACGTTCGTGACGGGCACGGGCCGTTCTGGAGGCTGTATGCCCGTAAAGCAATGCTGGCTCATCCCGAGCTCCCGATGGTGACCCGCTGCCACAGCTACGACATCAACTACAAGTACCAGTATCAGTGTAACCGCTGCAACAACTCGTGAGTACAGCTTTCCTGGTTTTTGCTGCGTTGGTCACATTTTTATGGTGCCGTCACATTTACTATCGTTCGGCAGTTTGCCAAGCATTTCAATGGATTCAATGTGATCTGACGTTTCCTATGAGGCGGAAGATTTTCCCTCGCAGAGACACTTCACATATACAGACAGGAGCCATCTTGGAAAACAGTCTCGACCAGTCGAACCACTAAGCCAGCTGTAATTTAAGCGTTCAGGGCAGCCACCCAGTAGAGCATTACAATAATTTGTCATTGAGAGCAAATGACGTATTTTTAAGATGGAAAAATGTGGTTTTACAGATACTAGACACGTGACTTTCAAATGAAAGATTTTGTGTACATAAGTGTCCATACAACACATAAGAAATTCAAAACCTATGCAAGTGTGTACAAACGGTACACATTCAAACCTACACAAAAATGTACTTCAGGTACAAATACATAATGTATATACAGCACACAAATTCTAAATTAAATTACAATGAAATTACTGTGGCTGTAGTATTTCCATTTTAAAGAAGTTGCCAAATATGAAAGATTAAGTAAACATCGTTTGGCCAATATTAAACCTGTGAAGTGTAACAACAATCAATAACCGCACGGTTAATCATCACAATAACCGCTCGATTAATCGTCACTACAACCGCCTGATTAATCGTCACTACAACCGTTCGATTAACCGTCACAATAACCGCTCGGTTAATCGTCGCTACAACCGCCCGGTTAATCGTCGCTACAACCGCCCGGTTAATCGGCGCTACAACCGTTCGAATAATCGTCACTACAACCGCCCGATTAATCGTCACAGTAACCGCTCGGTTAATCGTCGCTACAACCGCCCATTTAATCGTCACAGGAACCGCCTGGTTAATCGCCACAGCAACCGCTCGGTTAATCGTCACAATAACCGCTCGATTAATCGTCACTACAACCGCCTGATTAATCGTCACTACAACCGTTCGATTAACCATCACAGTAACCGCTCGGTTAATCATCACAATAACCGCCCGATTAATCGTCACAACAACTGCCCCGATTAATCGTCACTACAAACGCCCGATTAATCGTCACAGTAACCGCTCGATTAATCGTCACAACAACTGCCCCGATTAATCGTCACTACAAACGCCCGATTAACCATCACAGTAACCGCTCGGTTAATCGTCACAATAACCGCCCGATTAATCGTCGCTACAACCACCCGATTAATCGTCACAACAACTGCCCCGATTAATCGTCACTACAAACGCCCGATTAATCGTCACAGTAACCGCCCGATTAATCGTCATAGTAACCGCTCGGTTAATCGTTGCTACAACCACCCGGTTAATCGTCACAGGAACCGCCTGGTTAATCGCCACAGCAACCGCACGGTTAATCGTCACAATAACCGCTCAATTAATCGTCACTACAACCGTTCGATTAACCGTCACAGTAACCGCTCGGTTAATCGTCACAATAACCGCTCGGTTAATCGTCACAACAACCGCCCGGTTAATCGTCGCTACAACCGTTCGATTAATCGTCACAGTAACCGCCCGATTAATCGTCACAGTAACCGCTCGATTAATCGTCACTACAACCGTTCGATTAACCGTCACAGTAACCGCCCGGTTAATCGTCACAACAACCGCCCGGTTAATCGGCGCTACAACCGCCCGGTTAATCGTCACAACAACCGTTTCGATTAATCGTCACAGTAACCGCCCGTTTAATCGCCGCAGCAACCGCCCGAATAATCGCCGCAGCAACCGTCGCAATAACCGCCCGGCTAATTGTCACAGTAACCGCCCGTTTAATCGCCGCAGCAACCGCCCGAATAATCGCCGCAGCAACCGTCGCAATAACCGCCCGGCTAATCGTCCCAGTAACCGTATGTAAATGTTTCTGTCCCTCACAGGATCGGCCGCCACTCTAAGTCACTGGACACCACGAAGTTTGTGTGTGCTTTATGCACCGGACAGCTGGTTTTGGTGACTCCCTCGAAGCCGCGGGCGCCAACGCCCTTCGCCAGCTTCGTGAAGGAGAACTACAGCTCCGCCAGACAGCAGCTCGCAGGACAGGGTCACGCAGAGGTCATGCGCAAACTCAGCGCCGACTTCGCCAGCAAGACACGTCTCAGTCAGAGCTGATCTCACACGCACAGAGCTGATCCAAAAATCAAAAATACCTCCAACCATAGTATCCAGAGTTCTGTTCATATGCAGCTTCAACTTACTTGAAATCACATCAGTTTTACTTGTTTTGTACTGTGAAATGATTTTATTTATGGTTAAAGGCCATAGAAGACTTATAATATGCGCCGCGTTCATTTACGTGTTCATGAGTGTGCTGTTAACTTAGTCGACCTCTTGCTGTCGAAGGGAAATGTGTGATCCCTCTTTATTTGTGTCTGTGTGTCACGTTGGCTAGTTATGCCTAGTTATGTGCTTTATTTGTGTTTGGATGTTTCTGTTTTTTAAGAATAAACAATTGTTATTTCTTTCTCCCTTTTTCCTCTTTATTCTGTGCACTTCTGAATCTAAACAATTCCTCTGTTCACCAAGGCTGCATTTGGTTGATCAAATAAAGTAAAAGTAGTAAATAACATTGTGAAATATAATGTTTTAAAATAACTTGTAATATATAGTGAAGTGTAATTTATTCCTGTGATCAAAGCATCATTACTCCAGTCTTCAGTGTCACATGATCCTTCAGAAATCACTCTAATATGAGGATCTGATGATCAAGAAACATTTATTATCAACAATTGTGCTGCTTCATATTTCTGATTTCTTCAATTTCTACAGTTCAGAAGAACAGTGGTTAATAGAAATATTTTGTAACATTGATCAAAAATAAAATACTCAATAATTAAAACCTGGGCAAGGAAATAAATTGACAGAAGTCATCACCAGCTTAAAACAAGTTATTTTATTTTAAATAATACTTAGATAGCATCTCAAATACACTTAAATACAAAACATATGAAACCGAATTTAAAGCTGCAGTAAATGGTGTGTGTGTGTGTGTGTGATGTCCCTGAAAGCACACAGAACATCATCATTCAACACGTCGAGATCGTTTAATCAGTGATGTATACTTCCTCAAGGCAGAAACGTAAATGTAAAGTAGGCCTATATATATGAGTGAATGTGAATAAAAAACACTACTAACGTTTTAATTTGCAACGTTTACATGGCCACCTTTAATTTCCGATTGATGAATCCGAACATAGTTTTTACATGAACGCTAATAAGTGATTGGGTTGACGTGTGATTTATGTACGACGATCTTTTGACACGTTCGTTTCCCACTTAATATCGATCTATTCTGAGCCGAAGCGTTAAACAAACTTTAAACGAAATAAAAATGCTCTTATAGTAACTTCAAAACTTCAACAAGCTTTATTTTTAATGCAAAATGTATTTTTTATATCTATTCCGAAACATAAGATTCGCTCATTTAATGACAGATTGACAAACTTGAGTCGTTGTATGACTCACTCGATCACTACAACTAATAACTCTGTTGTGTGTATATCTTTCCCGATATGATTTGAGACTATAGAGTGTAAACAGCTGACGTTTGGCAAACCCTCACGGATCGGATCGGATCGCCGGGGTCGAGAGGCATCGAGGTTTTGGAATGATTAAAACAGTGACGTTGAATATGTTTACATTGAAAGGGTTTCTTGTCCGAATCCTGTGCTTCCGGTGACATTCAGTACAAACTTGTTTTCTTCATGATGCGAAGAAACTCCTGCTGGTTAACTTCTCCATCTCCATCTCTGTCGGCTTCATTAATCATTTCCTGAAGACAGCAGAACATTAATGACTCGCAGTGACATCATCTGTCACGGATCACGCACAGGTGTGCGTTAGGGATGCTCATTTCGGTTAATTTTCAGCTTGTTGTCCCGAGTATTCACCGTTAACTGATTATAGCCTATTGAGTTAAATAAAAATAAAATTGACGAGTGTCTGTGACCCATTAAAAATACAAACAAATTTTTTCACGTGTTTATTTTAACGTGCAAACCGCAGAACAGATTAACAACAGAACCCGGATCCACATCAAATGTTCACGCAATTGACATTGACGACAGAGAAAGCAGAATAGAATATAAATAAAAAACATAAAATAGGCCTACACTCATTTTTTTTCAACTTGAATAATTAAGAAATTAAGATGACAAAAATAAATCACTGAATCAATTTGAAGCTTTGAAAAAAACGCCATTTTTTTCCCTCCAGACTATAGGTTTTTTAGTCAAATATATATAAATAGCTGGCCTTCCTCAATCCACACATTGTCCAGTTTTTATTTAGAAAACTAACGTCACCATAATGTGGGGTTAGTCTGGAGCGCAGCCGTATGAGTTCGATCATAGACTGTAAAAAAGATGGACGCCCCTTCGAAACTCTGTGTTCATGACCTATACTGGGACCAGCCACCGGGGGATGATCGAGACTCTGGGTTTATGAGCTATACTGGGACCAGCCACTGGGGGGCGATCGAGACTCTGGGTTTATGAGCTATACTGGGACCAGCCACCGGGGGGACGATCAAGACTCTGGGTTTATGAGCTATACTGGGACTTGCCACCGGGGGGCAATCAAGACTCTGGGTTTATGAGCTATACTGGGACCAGCCACCGGGGGGCAATCAAGACTCTGGGTTTATGAGCTATACTGGGACCAGCCACCGGGGACGATCGAGACTCTGGTTTATGAGCTATACTGGGACTTGCCACCGGGGGCAATCAAGACTCTGGGTTTATGAGCTATACTGGGACTTGCCACCGGGGGGCAATCAAGACTCTGGGTTTATGAGCTATACTGGGACCAGCCACCGGTGGGCGATCGAGACTCTGGGTTTATGAGCTATACTGGGACCAGCCACCGGGGGACGATCGAGACTCTGGGTTTATGAGCTATACTGGGACTTGCCACCGGGGGGCAATCAAGACTCTGGGTTTATGAGCTATACTGGGACTTGCCACCGGGGGGCAATCAAGACTCTGGGTTTATGAGCTATACTGGGACTAGCCACCGGGGGGCGATCGAGACTCTGGGTTTATGAGCTATAGTGGGACCAGCCACCGGGGGATAATATTAATGTTTAACTGATCGGTCAAAATTAAAATTTTTACTTTCGGTTAATGGTTAAACGTCGATATGAGCATCCCTGGTGTGTGTGTGTGTGTGTGTGTGTACCTGCAGCTCTTCGTCCGTCAGGTTTTCGCCGAGCTCTTTGGCCACTCTCTTTAGATTCCGGAAAGATATTTTTCCAGTCTCGTCGTCGTCAAACAGCCGGAAAGCCTTCAGGATTTCTTCTTTAGAGTCCTTGTCAGCCTAGAGATTTCCCAAACAGCAGTTTGAGTTTTCTTTAGGGAATAACCTATTTAAGAAAGACCTTACCATTTTTTGGTTCATCACTGCCATGAAATCACTGAACGAGATCTTCCCGGTCGCTTCCTTATCAACCTCTGCAATCATTTTCTTGATCTCCTCCTTTTTAGGCTCGAATCCCAGCGCTCTCATGGCCACCTGGAGCAGAGATATGAACATAAATATATACATAATCTCGGTATTACATACATAATAGCCTACATTACATACATAGTCTCCAATCCCATCTCCCTCGTGTTCGTCCATCCTCGGGATGCGGCTGTTCTTTTCTACACCAAACACTTATGCTTGACTGGTTTGCACCCAGTGGGATTTATTTTATTTTATAGAAAGATTAAAAATATGAAAGCAAGGTAAAATACGGGATAATCCCGGGAAAAAACCGGGAGGGTTGACAGGTATGATACGGCATATAGAGACACAGTCTGGCGGCATTGGTGAAAATTATGACATTTTTGTGTTAGTTTCATTAGTCATATATTTTTTGTTTCATTTTTTTTTTCATCAAAAAGTTCCAAGTTCTATATGTCGTGTCCACACATCTTACTTTTCATTTATTTTTTGATTATCATTTATACAAATAAAAAAGTATTTTTCAAAAAAAATTAAAATGAGATTTATTTTTAATGCAAAATCTATTTTTTATTTTGAAACATAAGATTCCTTCATATAAATAAAGATATTGAACAAAATATAGTCATTGTATGACTCACTCAATCACTAAAACCTCTGTTATGTTTACATCTTCTTTACGGATATGCTTTGAGACTATAGAGTGTAAACAGCTGACGTTTGGCTATTTGACATCATATACTATTGAAAATTATTACATTTTGTATTTGTTTCACTAGTTTACATTTTTTGTCATTTTTTAATGTTGTTTTGATTGATGTCATCATCATAATATTTCTAAATTCATCTTTGTAATCTTGAATCAGAATATCTCTCTCTCGCATCTCTCCTCTTCCCTGATGACGAGGGCGGGGCTAACCTGTCACTCACATGAGATCCACCAATAGCAAACCACAACCATCCAATCAATCCCCCTCAGACACAAACATTTGATCTTTTTCCTGAAGCCTTTCACTCAGATATACGTCACAATAGAGAAGAAAACACAGGTGCAAGTTTTGTTTCATGCCGAATTTAAAAGAAATCATAATATTCCCCCTCTGAATAGAGATACCCCACTAAATAGAGACAATGCAACTCTGGGATGTAAACTACTCAAGCTGTGTTCATGTTTTTCATAAATGCATGGCATTATATCCCTTACCTTTAACTCCTTCACCTCGATATACCCAGAGCCATCAGTGTCGAAGAGCTCGAACGCCTCTCGGACCTCCTGCCTCTGCTCCTCTGTCAGCTCAGGCTTTGGGTTGGCTTTCTTACGGGGGGCTATGGCACCCAGAGAGGGTCTTTTGGGACTAGTGGCCTGAGTTATATAGAATAGAATAGAACCTCAATTAAAACAGGACCAGTATAGTACAGTACACATTACAATACAGTTTATGAATACAAGACACAGACTGTAAACATAAATTAGACAGTGCACATAAGAGATAATACAGGTTAGATAGAATAAGATGGTTAGGTGAAAAGAGAATAAGAAGAATATAAGATTCTCTGCTTTTAGATTAGACTAGCATTTAATTAGCAGTGATTGTAGATTCCCTCTTAAATACCATGACAATTTTCTCTGTATTTTTTTTTTTCACGATGAAAAATAAAGACCAGTGGCAATAATAAGCAAAACACGTATGTCACACAAACCTGAAGGAGGACATGTTTACATACTTATGGCAATTAAACGGATACACTAAAAGGGAGTGACACTACTTTGATAAATCACAAAGATAAATACACAGATTGCGACAGTTGCATTCGTCGTGACTCACCATCTTCACCGAGAGGAGAAAAATATAACCACACTATGGTGAAGGCTTGGTTTATGAATATTAACTACGTTCCGTGACGTTTGGTCTGTAGGCTCAAATGATTGGCTGAAACTAGGAAGACGTTGGCAAGTGGGCGGAAATCTTGACACGTCATGAATAATAATTAGGAAGCTGCAAGAAGCAGCATCCACACAGCCTAAATAATCAAGTCTACTCGCCATAGTAAGATTCGTAATATTCGTACAAAAGCATCTTATCCAGATTATAACGCGTCTATATTCTTCTTTTATTCCATAACTTGGGGGATTTATAGATACAGTCGGTTGGTCTGGGAACGCCCCCGGGAACGCCCCGTCACGTGGTGTGAATTTAGCCCGTGGGGGAAAACATTGCCTTGGCGCTCATTGAAATACATGGGACAATCATGCCAAAGAGTTGCGGTGTCGTTTTCTGTACCACCAATAAACAAACAAATTATAAATTGAAGTTCTACAGCCTCTCTTACATACATACAGAACCGGATAGGAGGACAAAATGGCAAAATTAATCATATCTTATTAGATTACTGTGTGAGTAGAGGTCCGTGTGATATAGTAGTAGATGTTTAACTCGTATTAGGCAGTGGGCCAGATTTGTCTGACGTTACATCCCTTACGAAAAATAACTATAGTAATCCTATGGCTATTAGTATTCTATAGTAGTGTATAATACTTCTGTGATGTTCATTAATACCTATACTTCTAGGCTATGTCCCAAAATACTATAGTATTCCTATAGGATTAACGTTACTATAATATTTTGTCCTAAAATACTACAAGATTCCTTTAGTTGTTTTTCATAAGGTTTTCATCAGCTGAAGGTTATCAGACTGCAGTCTGTGAGAATTCGGATAACTGTCAGCAAAGTCCCTCTGCAACTTCGTAGCGACTACTACTGATCACCGTTTTACAAAAGGATTAATAGTTTGGAGTGAAGCATACGTACAATTGGTAAGTGACATGGTTTTATGGACTTATAGTAAAAATACGCAAGTTGATTGAGTTACAGGCTTGTGTTGCCGGTAGCTTCCGCGATGTCTTACCTGAAGATTCAACCAGATATAATAGTCTGGAAACGACACCTCCGGCCATTTGGTTGGGTCATTGACCCAGTTTTTAATTAAATTAGGGCAATCATAACCTATTACAGTTAATTTTGCAATGTACCGTTGCCGGTCGGCAGGCATAAATGACTCGCAATATGACATTTTTCTCATTCAAATACATAGGATGGTCGCGCTGCTTTCCCCCACACCGACCACGCCCCCCAACTATGACGCGTTGCCGACTGTATCTATAAGCGCGCGCACACCCCGATTTTTTTACCGCACTGATTTCTGATTGGCTCAGATTTACTGGTCATGTTATTTGTATAATCTCATAAAGTATTTTGTAAACAAATAAACAAACGCGCTAAATTAAATTAAATTAAATGTTCCCATAATATACAAATAATAAAAAAGCACATGTAAGAACTTTCAATGATGTAATGAGGAGGTAAAACTGTTCTTTTTACTGATTGGGTGGCGCAGTGGCGCTCTTTGACGTAGCGCTTCTCTCATTGGTTAAACTCACACGTTAGGCTGATTCCTGATAGTTGGCTCGACCAATCAGATGTTCCTCCGCTCTCTGCTCATACGGCTCGTCGTGTTTCCCTCATTACAGCTGTAACTCGAGTGTCAGTTGAACAGGTGAGTGCTGCTATTGCTAACTGTAACTTTACAGAACTAGAACAACAAACTATATATTGTATTCTGGGCTTCGAGGATAATTAGTTTGTAAAAGTAAGTTTGGTTGTAGCGAACTGTTCTTTGAGAGTTAAACCTAAAATAGTGTAAAGTGTGCAGTAAATGGTTATCCAGCGTGTGACATCGTTTTAAAGAAGTAATTAGCCAGTGTATGTGTGTATTGTCCTGTAGACCGCCGTCGGGAGAGCTGAGAGAAACACTCATGGCAACTCGTATCAGACCGGTGAGTGTATGAACACATGAAACACCTCACTATCACCTGATCAAGACACCTGTAATGTCTAATACAGCTTTACAGTGATTCAATGAGTTAATTTCCTCTGTAGTGTCATTGTTCGACTGAAGTCAGTTCAGTGTTGATTCAGTTCTGTTGTAAAGATTATCAATTATTACTTTATCTATACAGCAACCTATACAGCAGAAAACATCCCTCACTGCAGTAAAATCAGTAATATTGTTGATTAATAAGTCCATATAAATCCTATAACACGTGATGTTCCTAGTTAAAAATGACCGGCCTGGAAATAATTGTTTATAAATCTCTCTTTATGCCACCAAATATTGGATTCAATCTTTTCCTCAAGTTGTTTTCTTTAAATTAGGACAGGTTTTGTATTGATTTTTAAACTGACTGATTGATCCTATTGATCTAAGCCTTACTGTTTTGAGGATAAAGTTCTCAAATTATCGAAAAAATAAATCCTGTAATACTCAAAACTAAAAATTGTGTGTGTGTGTGTGTGTGCATAATAACAGTAAAAGGTGTAGGCTAAAGCCTTTGCTTATTATGTCTATCATTTATACAGAATTATCTAATGAGCGTCACTTTTCTCTCTGGATTTGATTCATACAAAATAAATATAAGGCAATTTCCAAAATGTGCATTCATGATTGCAAAGGTACACATTTCAGAAATTATTACAATAGTTTAAATATTACATACACAAATTGTATAATTATTTACATGTTGAATTTACAGAGTGAAATGCACAATTAATTTCTTATCACAAATATTACATAGGTTGGAATCCATATCTATTATTTTGTATTAGTTCTTGTCCTTTTTGAAACGCATACATTCCTCTTAGTTTATACCGACTTTCTCTTATTTTGACACGTGAATCACACATGAATTATGTTGAATATCTGTTAAATTTAACTCCACAATTAGATAATACCAGTTTAGCTCAACCAGTGACCAAGCAATGCTTCATGTTGTTCAGTGTGTGTGTAAAAAGAGCAGAAAACACACTTCAGCAGAGCATCATCAGCTCAAAGTGTTTTTACTGGCAGTCTCTGTATGAAGAGTTTATGGGTGTAGTTTACTTCATTCTGCTCTCACTTACATAAATGAACTATCGTGTCGTGATCACACACATCCGGTGTCTGAATAATGTTTTGAATATATGACCATCATGGATTCCGTTCACTTTTATTTATTTATTTATTGTTTGTGTTTATTACTTTGTGTTTAATCTGTGTTAATTGTTCGACATTGTGGTTTATGGAGATTGCCTGCGAGTGGCAGTAAGTCCCTCTGTTTCTGAGGCTGTGTTGGTTCTCCTCCGCAGAGCAGCAAGCGCTGTGCTGTCATCGGGGGCTCGGGGTTTCTGGGCCGGCACCTCGTGGAGCGGTTAGTGGACCGCGGATACACCGTGAGTGTGTTCGACATCAGACAGGCCTATGAGCTTCCGGGAGTGACGTTTCACCAAGGAGACTTGTGTGACAAACAGGTGAGGATTGTTCAGTGTCAGTAGGTGACACCACACACACACACACACACACACACACACACACTTTCACACCGGAGAAACCTTTTCAAAGTTCCTAAAACTGTTGGTGAAAGTTCCCGTTGTTGGGCATGTTCGCTGGTGCTCCAGAGTCGGTCTGAACCAGCCGGACGTTGAGGAGCAAGCCGTCTGTGTTGTGCTGGAGGCAGGAGTGTTTCGGTGTTATCAGACTCAGGTCGTCAGCTGCAGTGCCGTCGCATAGACTATATATAAAGGAGAGAGGCTCGGGAGCGCACATGCACGTCACGTCCGATGGATCTCACAGAAAATCCGACCCGGAGACTTCACATAGAAATAGGAATACTGGCCTTCAGAGGAAATAGCAAAACCCGACAAGTGGATCATTGTAATGTGTGATAGGCAATAAAAAAAATCATTCAGTTTAGACGAAAAGTTACATATAGCACCTTTAAAACTTAAAACTGACAAAGAAAGCAGACTCATACCTTTTCTTTTGCATAATTTGAATCTTTATACAATAAATCTTGCGTTAAATGTCGCGAATATCGCGCGTGAAATTCACCCCGGGTGTGAACAGACCTTCACACTGTACATTTTAACTTTAAATTAGGGCTGTGAAAAAATGAATTGCGATTAATCGCATCCAAAATAAAAGTCTGTTTACATAATATATTTGTGTGTGCTGTGTTTATATATAAATACACACACATGCATGTATATATTTAAGAAAATGTTATTCATATATAAAATATTTAGATTTATATAATATAGATTATGTATTTATATAAATATATACAGAATTTAAGCGCAAATAATTCTTAAATATATACATGCATGTGTGTGTATTTATATATACAAAATAATTAAATACAGCACACACAAATATATTATGTAAACACAGACTTTTATTTTGGATGCGATTAATCGCAAATTAATTTTTGCACAGCCCTACTTTAAATATTTAATTTTGTACAAGAAAACAGACCTAATGAATTATTAGGTGTCTCAGGAAATCTCGCTTATTGCGTCGTCAACTGCCAATTTAGGGGACATCGCCCAACCGCACGGCACACGCTAATAACGGTTCATCACTGTCTACTTGTGTACAACAGTTCTGTCTAATACCGCGTTAAACAGATCATACACTGTGAACACGGAGAATGCGAGCGCTGTGAGTTCAGTCGTTCTCAAGTGTGTCGTACGTCACTTCAGAGTTCAGTAAAACGCTCCTACGGTAAACATTAGTTCTCCCGTAGCCTGTGTCCTCTCTCTCTCAGCTGTTCTCCTCATGTCTCCTCCAGGCTTTGCTGTCGGCTTTGAAGGAAGTGTCTATAGTGTTTCACTGCGCGTCTCCGGCTCCGGGCAGCGACGACCGAGCGCTGTTTCAGAGGGTCAATGTCGACGGCACGCGGACGGTCATACTGGCCTGTCTGGAGGCCGGAGTTCAGGTGTGTGTGTTATAATTCCTAGGGGTGTGACAATATATCATGTCACAATATATCACAATACAAAAATGCAACTATGTATCGTGTGTAGTTCACCCAATATAAAAATGACTGTGCTGTATATATGCACATAGAAAACAGCCAGTTTACATTGCTTTATTTAAATGTACTACATTTTTGATCAAATAAACAGCCTTGGTGAGCAGAAGAGACGTCTTTCCAAACATAAAAACCCAAATCAGCCTAAGTGTAAAGTACATGACTGACTCTGTACATAAAGTCATTATTTTAATGGTTCTGCGACGTAAGCCGCATCACGCACATGTATTCATTTGGTACGTGCAATACTGTTATAATAATATCTCTGTCCACCAAGGGATTTGTAATGGGTTTCTGTGGTAGTTGGCAGCAGTAAGTCTGTTTAATCTGGAATATTCTTCTAAATGATGTTTTACAGAAATTAGTATTGACCAGCAGTGCTAGTGTGGTGTTTGAAGGAACTGACATCAAGAATGGGAAAGAGGATCTTCCTTATGCAAAAAAGCCGATTGATTATTATACAGCGACCAAAATCCAGCAGGAGAAGGTGTGTATGAATCACATCTGAGGCATTATTCCTCTCTTACTTTACTCAGACCTGTATGAAAGCCTGTTTCCGCCACAGAGTAACAAGTAAAAAAGGTAATTGCGACTTTTTCTCACAATTCTGACTTTATCTTAGAACTGGTTGATTATAAAAGTCGCAATTGTGTGTTATAAAGTCCGAATTGTGAGATATTTTTAACTTTTTTCCTCAGAATTGCAACTTTATAACACACAATTGGTAGATAAACAGTTAGAATTGCATGATATAAAGTCAGAATCGCTCATATCTAGTCACTCTGTGAGTCTGATACTGCTCATAGGGCTTTGATTATGAGGCGTGTCTTAACCTAATCAGGAAAAAAAAACTCTGCTCTCAATTGGATGGACCTACAGCCAATCAGAGCAATGCAGTAAGTGACGTATGTTGAGCTACGCATACACAACTTTCCGATCGACAAATGCCTTGATTGTGCATGAATGTGCAGTCGATTTCTTCGAAAGCAGATGCGATAGTGGAATCTACACATCTCAGTTCTCCAGCGGCGGCCATCTTTGAGGGAAACCAGTTCGACCCAAGCGCTCTTTGATTACGTAACTGCAGATCATCTGTCCATCATCGTATAAAGCCCCGCCCTGGCAATTTGATTGGCCCGACCATTTCTGAACCAATCATCCTCAATGGATCGAGTCCAGACCGAACTTCCCGACCAAAAAAATGTGGGCGGGGTTCGGGCTGGCATCCAGGCTACAGAATCGCTTGTTAAAAAAATGGTAAAATGGTAAATGGACTGCATTTATATAGCGCTTTCATAGACCTAATGGCCACCAAAGCTCTTTACATATTGCCTCACATTCACCCATTCACACACACATTCATACACCGACGGTTAAAAAGTCAGAATTACGAGATATAAACTCACAATTATGAGAAAAGTATTTTTTCCTTAGAATTGGACTTTTTAACACGCAATTGTGATTTTACTTCTCGCCATTCTGAGAAATAGTCAATAAAATGTCACAATCAAGTGTTTTATTGTGTGGCGGAAACCCGCTTCCATAGTATTGACGTTCAGCTCTCCTCTGAAATGAAGTATTTACTTTGACTGGTGTTGGATCCTCATGCTCCGTGTCCTCCGTGTCCAGCTGGTGTTGGAGGCCTGCAGTAAAGAGAAGGGTTTCCTCACCGTCGCCATCCGTCCTCATGGCATCTTCGGGCCCCGGGACCCTCAGCTAGTGCCCATCCTGGTGGATTCGGCCCGCAGGGGAAAGATGAAGTTCATCATCGGGTGAGAGAGAGAGAAGGTTTGGCTGAAAGACTTGATTAAGTTAACTTGATAAATGAGTGAAGATGTTTGACTTTCACTGGACCAGAATGTGTTTCAAAGCACTTGAACGTGTGTGTGTGTGGTCATGTCTGAAGGGAACGTGTTTGTGTTTCATTTGATCACCAAACACAAAGAACATTACAAATATCAGTATAAAACTATTGAGAAATGTGACCTAACTGCATTAAAACTACATTGATTCAAATGCCACAGAAAAGAGAGGCTCCTATACGGGTTAGTCCACTAGGTGGCAGAGTCACACCTGAATATGATCTTCACTGTCTGTCAGCATTCTACGGAGGCGTATTGCATTCACTTGAAGAAAAAAAATCTACTCTGTTTTTCTGAATTAATGAGTTAATTTTTCATGAGAAAAAAAAAAATTCTCAGTTTTTCTGAATTAATGAGTTAATTTTTCATGAGAAAATTTTTTTTTGCTCTGTTTTTCTGAATTAACGAGTTAATTTTTCATGAGAATTTTTTTTTTGCTCTGTTTTTCTGAATTAATGAGTTAATTTTTCATGAGAAAAAAAGTTTTTCTCTGTTTTTCTGAATTAATGACTTAATTTTTCATGAGAAAATATTTTTTTCTCTGTTTTTCTGAATTAATGAGTTAATTTTTCGTGAGACTCGTTAATTCAGAAAAACAGAGCAAAAAAAAAAAAATTCCATGAAAAATTAACTCATTAATTCAGAAAAACAGAGAAAAACTTTTTTTCTCATGAAAAATTAACTCATTAATTCAGAAAAACAGAGCAAAAAAAAATTTCTCATAAAAAATTAACTTGTTAATTCAGAAAAACAGAGCAAAAAAAAAAATTTTCTCATGAAAAATTAACTCATTAATTCAGAAAAACAGAGCAATTTTTTTTTCTCATGAAAAATTAACTCGTTAATTCAGAAAAACGGAGTAGATTTTTTTTCTTCAAGTGAATGCAATACGCCTCTGTAGCATTCGTTTAGACATGACATGTTATATTAGTAAACAACAGGGCTGGGTATTGACAGAAATGTCACAATTTGATTTCTATTCAATATTGGTTATTTTGGATATCAGGTACAACACATGGCAAATGTTCTCAATGAAAACAAATCTCTTAACTAATGCTATAAACTATGGGAGTCAGCGAGCCTAATAGGCTTAATTAGATGACTGTAATATTGAAGGTAAAAGTGAACTGATTTGTATACAAATACTTACTTATTTTTATAATAAAAATTATATGAAATATAAACATTTAAATGGTGGCTGAAACATGTATTAAATATTGAAGATCATTAAAAATGATAATAAATATGTAATAGTGCATAATATGTAGCAAAATACTGTAGAGTTAATTTTTCTAGCTGACTAATGAGTTTATGGTCACTGGATATGGTTTTTCTGAGGTAAATGTGACGTTACATGACGTCTTATACACTGAGTGATTCCAGTTGTGCGCTAACACTCTTTCAGATGCTAATTCATGTGTATTTGTTTTTGAATTTCGTAAGAAAATGGACATAATTCGAAATCTGAGACTGTGTTTCTTATCAATAGTAACAAAGCTCAAAGATTATTGTGATTTAGTGGATGGGATGAGCGCTACGATGCTCTATTCATTCATCAACTAGAAACAGGATGACTAGCCTCATTGATTCTTGGGATTTATGAATTGATATCGTTTCGTAAAACATTAGCCTGGGTTTTCCTCATACTGCCTTTGCGCATCGTGATTTTATTCACGCTAATAGGCAGTCTGGACACCAGGGTCCAGATTTTGGCCTCAGTGAAGGGGACCAATCACAGAACGGGGAGGGAGCAGTGAGACGACAACGTGTATGCGACACACCGAAGCTGTTTGTTTATCCCTATGGATCCAACATGGCAGCAGCCGTGGGTGTGTCTATGCTAATAGGGTGGAGTCTGTCAGCAATCGTGGGCGGGTCTATGTTAATAAGGTAGAGTCCTTCAGCAGTCGTGGGCGGGTTTATGTTAATAAGGCAGAGTCCTTTTATACAAAAGAGACCTATTATACAAATCCAGAAACCTATTATACAAAATTCACTTTTACATGGTATTTGAACATAAATGTGTCGGCAGTGTGTACACAAACACCCTAACTAAACCATTGTTTCACTTGAAAAGACCCTTGTTCATCATCTAATGAATAAGGCATAGATTTAGCATAGACCTGCCCACTACTGCTGACGGACTCCGCCCTATTAGCATAGACCCGCCCACGACTGCTGACGGACAGCAGTCGTGGCATAGACCCGCCCACGACTGCTGTCCGTCAGCAGTCGTGGGCGGGTCTATGCTAATAGGGCGGAGTCCGTCAGCAGTCGTGGGCAGGTCTATGCTAATAGGGCGGAGTCCGTCAGCAGTCGTGGTTGGGTCTATGCTAATAGGGCGGAGTCCGTCAGCAGTCGTGGGCGGGTCTATGCTAATAGGGCGGAGTCCGTCAGCAGTCGTGGGCGGGTCTATGCTAATAGGGCGGAGTCCGTCAGCAGTCGTGGTTGGGTCTATGCTAATAGGGCGGAGTCCGTCAGCAGTCGTGGGCGGGTCTATGCTAATAGGGCGGAGTCCGTCAGCAGTCGTGGGCAGGTCTATGCTAATAGGGCGGAGTCCGTCAGCAGTCGTGGGCGGGTCTATGCTAATAGGGCGGAGTCCGTCAGCAGTCGTGGGCAGGTCTATGCTAATAGGGCGGAGTCCGTCAGCAGTCGTGGTTGGGTCTATGCTAATAGGGCGGAGTCCGTCAGCAGTCGTGGGCGGGTCTATGCTAATAGGGCGGAGTCCGTCAGCAGTCGTGGGCGGGTCTATGCTAATAGGGCGGAGTCCGTCAGCAGTCGTGGTTGGGTCTATGCTAATAGGGCGGAGTCCGTCAGCAGTCGTGGGCGGGTCTATGCTAATAGGGCGGAGTCCGTCAGCAGTCGTGGGCGGGTCTATGCTAATAGGGCGGAGTCCGTCAGCAGTCGTGGTTGGGTCTATGCTAATAGGGCGGAGTCCGTCAGCAGTCGTGGGCGGGTCTATGCTAATAGGGCGGAGTCCGTCAGCAGTCGTGGGCAGGTCTATGCTAAATCTATGCCTTATTCATTAGACGATGAATAAGGGTCTTATCAAGTGAAACAATGGTTTAGTTAGGGTGTTTGTGTACACACTGCCGACACATTTATGTTCAAATACCATGTAAAAGTTTTTTTTGTATAATAGGTCACATAAAAATAAATGTAATGTGGCGTGACGGGTCGCTGTAGTGCCTCAGTTAAGGTGAAGCACTTGTGAACCGTTCATCTCTTCCGCTTTACAGTTTGAAATAAACATGAATAAACATCAGAAGGAATGTACGCTACATTGAGTTTTCATGTCGATGAATCATGTTGATGTGATGGTGGACATCATGTGATAAACCAGTGCTATCTGAATCTGATTTGCTCTTTCTGTGATGCAGAGACGGATCCAATCTTGTGGACTTCACCTATGTGGAGAATGTGGTTCATGGGCATATCTTAGCCGCTGAACACCTCAAGGCTGACTCTCCGCTCTGCGCTCAGGTATGTGAACGAGACGCCGAAGGAGTGTTTCTAGATGCGCTCTCTTAGATCAAGTCCCACGTGTGCGTGCGTGCGTGTGTGTGTTTACTGTGTAAACATCCCGCATTACTGATTCATAAAGTTTTGACTATCATTTCCAGGGAAATGCAGTGATAACAAACTCTCATAGGGGTTTCAGTCATTCATTAAGATGGTCAATAAACCTTTTAAATGCAGATTTTTTGCACAACCTGAGAGACCTTGAGTTTTGTCATGAGATTGTCCAGTCATGGAAAATGAGAATTTCCTAGATGCTCTGGAAAACAAACATGGTGCGTTTTTTATTTTTAGTGTGATGCCTTTTTTTTTTTTTTCTTGTAAGATATGGTTTAGCTGTCTTTAACCTCTAAAGCCCTATTTGGATGGGACTAGTTTAACATGTTAAAGGTAAAGTCATTATCACCAGGGCCCGGTTTTTCAAAAGGTTTAATTTAGTTTAGTAACCCTTTTGTTTTGCAATCCGTGATCACGTAATCCAGCTTAATTTTGAGCCAGTTTTTCAAAGCAACATCGGATTGGATCAATCTGATCTGGATAGGAACTTTTCAGGATCACCAAATCTGGATAACCAGTGCTCAAACAGGATAGGAAATCACAATGTAGAACTATGTAAAGAGCAACAGGTAGACAAAACAAGTAACAACCACTGTGCATTGAGGATATTTATAACAAGTTTATAATATAGATGTATTGAATTAAATAAAAGACTTAATGTTAAATACTCCACAATAATTTCAGACCTCCTCATCTGATGTGGAGAGACCAGCTTGTCTGAGTGTAGTCTTTAGAAGGCGGATCTCAAGTCTGCTGCAGAGTCAGTTGTTCCTCTGCCAGTACGAGCAAAAAGGACGTGCAACAAGGGATGCAATAGTTAGACACTTTCTGATTTGGATTTCAAAAATCAGTGATTGCCATTATTTGCATTTTTTTGGTTATTCTGTAATCATTGGATAAATATTCTAAAAACAAAAATATTTTCGATTGTGATGAATATATATATCAATTAGTGACAGAATAAAATTGATAGTTTTTGGTCAATTTTGACAGCTGTTTGGAGGATTATTTTATGAGGCCAAACTCTTTCTACTTTGCTCTTGGCCTAAAGGCTGAATATGCTAAAGCCAATCTAATCACTGTAGCCTGACGGATGAACAAATACAATTAAAACCTTATGGATAAATAGGATATCTTGTAATATACTGCATGATCCAAATATACTATTATTTGAGACATTTTTAAAGTTTTCATTACATTTTGGGCATGAAACCCACGTTGAATCCACCCTTGTGATGGGATCAGTTTAATCCCGATTTTTTGGATCAGAGTGATCCAAATCCTACAAAAAAGTTCTGAAAAACCCAACCTAAAGGTTTGATCCGGATCAAAACCAAGATTGGATTACGTTATGTAATCCATTTTTTATTTTGAAAAACCCATTTTCAAGATTTGATGCAATCAGTTATCCAAAATCCTAGTGGATTACTTTTGAAAAACTGGGCCCAGAGCTCCTAAGTGATTTTAATCCCGTCTGAATGTGCATCTCAGTCATCATTACGTTGGACAATTTCAGATTACAGTGACTTTTACTTTCAGTACAAAGGTCTGAAAGATGACCTCGGGTAATGCTAATCCCGTGCGAATAGACCCACTGTAAATGTGCGTAAATATTCCATCATTTCCTGTTTAAAAGCAGCTTTTTTTCCAAGCATTGAATGTGCTCGATGAAGTATCAGTTGTGTTCTAGACGCGTGGCAAAACTCAAGTGTTTTACACACCATTCAGAAAGAAGATCGAAAGCACTTGTTCGAGGCACGACACTTGTTTTAGCGTTAAGTGCCTATTACTAACATAATACAATCAGAAGTTAATTAATAAATCGTCCGACCGGACCACTGCTTTATATAAATAAATATAGGTTATATGTGATATCAGGGAGCGCAAATCGAGTTAGCCCTTCCACTTCTCTTAGGGCTTACGTGTGTATGATCTGAATCTTGCAGTAACCCACATTAGCTGGCTAATAAACTACTACTGTAGTAGCATGTTATATTATCATAAATGCTTTTACCTTTTGCACCTAATCAGCTGTTTATTTGTCATGAGAGAGGCCTTGTAAGTTGTAGTTGTAGTAGCAAAACCCATTAAGTAATGGTTACTTGAGCGTTACTGAAAAAATGCTGCCATGCCAGAAACATGACATAGCAGAACTTCCTCTGCGTGAAAGTGCTTAAAGGGTTTGTTCACATAAAAGTTAAAATTAAGTCATTAATAACTAAATTTGAGAGGTGGATCACTGCTACATGGCACCCTAAGGGATCGAAACTTGACGGCCCAGAAAGTCATTGAAGAAAATGTTTTTAATATTCCACGTGACTACAGTGGCTCAACTATAAGTTTACAAGTTCAAGAGATTTCCACTGAACTGAAGGAGATTGCAATTCTCGCGCATGCGTCGTGGAAATCTCTTGAACTCTCGTCTCAGGCCTAGAAGGAATAGTTGAATAAAGTCATTATTTTTGTTCGTTTTTTCGCACAAAAAGTAGTCCCGTCGCTTGATAAACTTATACTTGAGCCACTGTAGGCACATGGAATATTTAAACATTTTCTTCATTGACTTTCTGGGCCGTCAAGTTTCAATCCCTTAGGGTGCCTATGTAGCAGTGATCCACCTCTCAAATTTAATCAAAAATATCTTCATTTGTGTTCAGAAGACGAACGAAGGTCTTACGGGGTTGGTACAGCATGAGACTGAGTAATTAATGACTTAATTTTCATTTTTGGGTGATATGGGCTATATGCACGCATAAATTCCGCATTTGACGCAAGGATGCTCTTCCATTTCCGGTTGTGTAGATTAAAGCGGAGGAAAACCGAGGAAAACGGGATTATGGCAGAGTCTTCAAAATTTACTGTTCTCCCGTCTTTGAAATGAAACGTACATACGTTTAGATGTAATTTTATATATAGTTATATTTATTTAATATAATTTTAAAAAGAAGCATAAACACAACGAGGGGTGTCTGTTTTATCTGTTTTTGTGACTAACGTTTCATTAGTATAACCATGGAGTATAAAATTCAATATAAATTCTCGGTATTGCATTGGACTCTACGATCGGCGGAAGTTATCGAGCATCCCTAATGCTTCAACGGAAATACCGCCGTGCATAGAGCCCATTACAGGTGTTGCTCACATAAAATGACTTGGGGAAAAAAGTGTCTGAGAACCTCACAAAAGCTATTTATTCTTGGCGAACAAATATTAAATTCTTCCACTACTGGTAAAAAGTTATGGCTAGCCTGTGGGAGCAACGAATGGATAATCCATCACCGTTAACTGGGTTTCAAATTTAAAGTTCCCCAGTGGTGAAAATCCGAGATGGTCCTCACAGCAGAACACGAAATCCAGGGGGCGGAGCCATATTGTATCAAAATTACATATTTAAACATTTTTCCTTGTTAATGTCTTCATGTCTTAAAATATCTTGGATGAAACTCGACACCTTTACCCTTATTTAGTATGCGCGGTTCTATGAATATACAAATGAGCCGAGCCCCGCCCCACTCACCCACTCAGAGATCCACTGGTTGACGATCACAGGTTGATCTGATTGGTTACAAGGTGGTTTGTGACGTCAGAAACACCAGCGATTTCAAAGCGTGTTTTTGAGTCTTTGGTTCACTGCAGTTTTAAGGAGGAAATACTCCACTTATCAATTTACACATGGTGTGTGTTAAAGCGGATCAAAAACACCACATACACACATAAACAACATTAAACGCTGGATTAAAGGGTTAGTTCACCCAAAAATGAAAATTAAGTCATTAATTACTCACCCCCATGCTGTACCAACCCCGTAAGACCTTCGTTCGTCTTCGGAACACAAATGAAGATATTTTTGATTAAATTTGAGAGCTGTATAACTACCACATTGGCTCCTAAGGGACTGCCTCTTGACGGCCCAGAAAGTCAATGAAGAAAATGTTTAAATATCCCAAGTGACTACCGTGGCTCAACTATATGTTTATCAAGCGACGCGAATACTTTTTGTGCGAAAAAACAAACAAAAATAACGAGTTTATTCGACTATTTCTTTTCTTCCTTGTAGGCCAGAAACGAGACTTCCTTAGATTTCCACGACGCATGCGCGAGAATTGCGATCTGAAGTAGTGTAAGCTGGTGTAAGCAGATCGCAATTCTCGCGCATGCGTCGTGGAAATCTATAAGGAAGTCTCGTTCTGGCCTACAAGGAAGAAAAGAAATAGTCGAATAAACTCGTTATTTTTGTTTGTTTTTTCGCACAAAAGTATTCGCGTCGCTTGATAAACATATGGTTGAGCCACGGTAGTCACTTGGGATATTTAAACATTTTCTTCATTGACTTTCTGGGCCGTCAAGAGGCAGTCCCTTAGGAGCCAATGTGGTAGTTATACAGCTCTCAAATTTAATCAAAAATATCTTCATTTGTGTTCCGAAGATGAACGAAGGCCTTACGGGGTTGGGTGAACATTTTTGGGTGAACTAACCCTTTAACACAAAGGCTTTTTTTAAAACTTAAACCGTACCTCATCCAATTTCAATGTTCTCGCACTAACAGGCTTACCACATAACGAATGACGAGCCGGTGCGCTTCTGGGACTTCCTGTCGCAGGTTCTGGTGGGTCTGGGCTACAGCGCTCCTCGGCTCCGCCTGCCCTACACACTGGTGTACGTGTTATCTCTGCTTCTGTGGCTGATGGTGTTAGTGCTGCGCCCGCTCATCCAGATCAAGCCCACCTTCACCCCGATGCGAGTCGCTCTGGCCGGCACACACCACTACTACAGCTGCGCTCGGGCCAAGCAGGACATGGGCTACCGGCCCGTAGTGAGCCTGCAGGAGGCCATCGCGCGCACCGTGGAGAGCTACCCGCATCTGCGGCGCGGGGCGTAGCGGCGTTCGAGGACCACCGTTTATCAACAGCGCACTGTTCACTTCAGAATTTAAGTTTAATGATAATTCAAGATTGTTCATCTCAAACATCACGTTAAGGAAAACGTTCCAGGATGTTTCTCCATATAGTGTCTTCAATGGGGTCCAACGGGTCGAGATGTGAGTTTCAGTGCAGCTTCAAAGTCTCGAAACCAGCGGACATTTATAACAAATACACATTTATATACTTTTAACAACAAATGCTCTTTGTTTATTCATTTCTTTTGTAAATGGCATTTGATTTAGTAGTTGTAAACAATAGGTCTGTTCTTACGCCTACGTCACGCTTGACCTTTCAATGTGATGTGTGTCGTATCACAGCGAGTGCAAGACGAGCATCTGTGGTTAAAAGTATATAAATGTGTATTTGTTATAACTGTCGGCTGTTTTGTCTAGATCAGACTCTTATTCCTCGGCTGGATCGCGTCGAGACTTTGAAGCTGCACTGAAACTCACATCTCGACCCGTTGGACCCCATTGAAGTCTCTATATGGAGAAATATCCTGGAACGTTTTCCTTCATTTCTTTTCGACTGAAGAGAGACGTGAACGTCTTGGATGATGTGGGGGAGAGTAAATTATCAGGAAATTTTAATTCTAAAGTGAACTACTCCTTTAGTCATTCCTATGCTAATTGTGCCTTTTCACCAGGATGTGGTGTCGAATTCACACAGTAGAAATGGACGATTGCCTCTTCCGACTTTGGTCCGGAAGAATTGCGACTATGTACGAGCTATTCAGTTTTTCTAAACCTGTCAGTATAAATTTTAAATCAAGTTTCTAATTGTCACATTCCTTTTTCAGTGCAACGTGAAATGGCATTCACTTCCTGTTTTACTTCATGTCTTCTTTTTTTTTAAAGGGATATTTCACCCAAGAATGTACTTTGTCATTCCAAACCCATAAGAGTTTCCGTCTTTGTCACAAGAAAAACAAGGAAGATATTAGTAATTAGATTTACTTGAGGTTTCTGTTTCTCAACTGAAAGTTAATTACAGCAAAACTTTTCAAAAATGACATTACGTGTAAATGTAATCTAGGGGAAAATGTGATGTGCGATAACTTGTTAAATAATGTGGTATTCTATATGCGATATGATATTGCTTTAAGTGTGTAAAATTAATTTAGATTAAAAACTGAAAATGAAAAATGTTTCTCATTCTTTCTGAGAAAATACTATAACTTCTGAAAGTGAACTGCAGTGTTTTAGCGTTACATAAATAGTAATGTCTCAAATCTGACAATGGCATGTTAACATCAATGTAAAAAAGCAAAACAAAAAAGCTTGCTGAACTTGGTAATGTATGGTTGCATCAACCTGAAAACTTAAGAACATCCAGGTAAACAAAAGCACCTGAAACTAGGGGTGGACAATTAGTTATTTTTAATAAGAAAGAAAAATTAAAATAACGGCATTAAGAACAAAGAGGCAAATAAAAGTAAGCAGAGTTTTAAGTTTTTCATGTACACTAGATTTAACCATAGCATTCTAACAAGAATCAATACAGAAACTGAACAATCAAATGTAAAAATACAATGCTGTGGGGACTGTGACTGTGAGGGTTTATGAGCTATACTGGGACGAGCCACCGGGGGGTGATCAAGACTCTGGGTTTATGAGCTATACTGGGACCAGCCACCGGGGGGCGATCGAGACTCTGGGTTTATGAGCTATACTGGGACCAGCCACCGGGGGGCGATCGAGACTCTGGGTTTATGACCTATACTGGGACCAGCCACCGGGGGGCGATCGAGACTCTGGGTTTATGAGCTATACTGGGACCAGCCACCGGGGGCAATCGAGACTCTGGGTTTATGACCTATACTGGGACCAGCCACCGGGGGGCGATCGAGACTCTGGGTTTATGACCTATACTGGGACCAGCCACCGGGGGGCGATCGAGACTCTGGGTTTATGAGCTATACTGGGACCAGCCACCGGGGGGCGATCGAGACTCTGGGTTTATGAGCTATACTGGGACCAGCCACCGGGGGACGATCGAGAATCTGGGTTTATGACCTATACTGGGACCAGCCACCGGGGGGCGATCGAGACTCTGGGTTTATGAGCTATACTGGGACTAGCCACCGGGGGACGATCAAGACTCTGCGTTTATGAGCTATACTGGGACCAGCCACCGGGGGGCGATCGAGACTCTGGGTTTATGAGCTATACTGGGACCAGCCACCGGGGGGCGATCGAGACTCTGGGTTTATGACCTATACTGGGACCAGCCACCGGGGGGCGATCGAGACTCTGGGTTTATGAGCTATACTGGGACCAGCCACCGGGGGGCGATCGAGACTCTGGGTTTATGAGCTATACTGGGACCAGCCACCGGGGGCGATCGAGACTCTGGGTTTATGAGCTATACTGGGACTAGCCACCGGGGGGCGATCAAGACTCTGCGTTTATGAGCTATACTGGGACCAGCCACCGGGGGGCGATCAAGACTCTGCGTTTATGAGCTATACTGGGACCAGCCACCGGAGGGCGATCGAGACTCTGGGTTTATGAGCTATACTGGGACCGGCCACCGGGGGGCGATTAAGACTGTGTTTATGAGCTATACTGGGACCAGCCACCGGGGGGCGATCGAGACTCTGGGTTTAGGAGCTATACTGGGACCAGCCACCGGTGGGCGATCAAGACTCTGGGTTTATGAGCTATACTGGGACCAGCCACCGGGGGGCGATCGAGACTCTGTGTTTATGAGCTATACTGGGACCAGCCACCGGGGGACGATCAAGACTCTGTGTTTATGAGCTATACTGAGACCAGCCATCGGGGGACGATCAAGACTCTGTGTTTATGAGCTATACTGGGACCAGCCACCGGGGGGCGATCGAGACTCTGGGTTTATGAGCTATACTGGGACCAGCCACCGGTGGGCGATCGAGACTCTGGGTTTATGAGCTATACTGGGACCAGCCACCGGGGGGCGATCGAGACTCTGTGTTTATGAGCTATACTGGGACCAGCCACCGGGGGGACGATCAAGACTCTGTGTTTATGAGCTATACTGAGACCAGCCACCGGGGGGACGATCAAGACTCTGTGTTTATGAGCTATACTGGGACCAGCCACCGGGGGGCGATCGAGACTCTGGGTTTATGAGCTATACTGGGACCAGCCACCGGTGGGCGATCGAGACTCTGGGTTTATGAGCTATACTGGGACCAGCCACCGGGGGGCGATCGAGACTCTGTGTTTATGAGCTATACTGGGACCAGCCACCGGGGGGCGATCGAGACTCTGTGTTTATGAGCTATACTGAGACTAGCCACCGGGGGGCGATCGAGACTCTGGGTTTATGAGCTATACTGGGACCAGCCACCGGGGGGCGATCGAGACTCTGTGTTTATGAGCTATACTGGGACCAGCCACCGGGGGACGATCGAGACTCTGTGTTTATGAGCTATGGGACCAGCCACTGGGGGGGCGATCGAGACTCTGTGTTTATGAGCTATACTGGGACCAGCCACCGGGGGACGATCGAGACTCTGTGTTTATGAGCTATGGGACCAGCCACTGGGGGGGCGATCGAGACTCTGGGTTTATGAGCTATACTGGGACCAGCCACCGTGGGGGCGATCAAGACTCTGTGTTTATGAGCTATACTGAGACCAGCCACCGGGGGGACGATCAAGACTCTGTGTTTATGAGCTATACTGAGACTAGCCACCGGGGGGCGATCAAGACTCTGTGTTTATGAGCTATACTGGGACCAGCCACCGGGGGGACGATCAAGACTCTGTGTTTATGAGCTATACTGAGACTAGCCACCGGGGGGTGATCAAGACTCTGTGTTTATGAGCTATACTGGGACCAGCCACCGGGGAGGCGATCAAGACGCTTTGTTTATGAGCTATACTGGGACCAGCCACCGGGGGGCGATCGAGACTCTGGGTTTATGAGCTATACTGAGACCAGCCACCGGGGGGTGATCTTGTGTGGGTTGAATGAACAACACAAAACAAGCAAACAAGAAGCTCAAATGTTCTCCTTGGCAGGGCAGTTGAGGTCATGCAAGTACGGTTGTACTTGGTTTACCTTATTTAATGTGCTCTGTGTATGTGCATTGATCACTGTTTATATATGAACAAAATCATTAAATCTGCTCATCACATATTGTCTATTAATTTATTTAACAATATAATTTTTTACCTTTCTAATGCATTAAATTTTGGGTTGCAGCATGGACTTTCAATGAATGGACAAAAATGATGAGACAATATTAATACCTTTTGTGTTTCAAAGATTAATGTAAGTTATGCCTGGGATTGAATGCAGTTTTGACTTCTTTCGTTTTAAACGCTCTAGCTCGTTAAAGCAGGATGGATTTTGATTGGCTGTCAGTGTTTTATCCGTTGATCAGCTAGAAAGAAACGTTCTGAAATTGATTCCAACGATATAATTTCACTGTTATTATCGTTATCATTTTAGTGTTATGATATATAATATCTATATGATCTATGATATCATATGATATAGTTGTGAACGCAGCTATTCATTTATATTTAGAACTATTTTTAGAACTATATCTTTATCGTTATGATTATAACAATCACTCTTGGTGTGAACAAGCCGAATCAAGCTCAACTGGAAATATAACTGTTACAAGATGATAGAAAGGCTGTTGTTAACAGTTATAAAGAGTGTAGTCATTATGATGCATGATCAGTCTTGTATCCGTTAGAGTAATTTCTCGATGAATACACACTACTACCCACTTGATTTGTTTCTCTGCTATACAATATCTCCCATCAATGGGTTCGGTGAACTATTATTATTCCAAGGCCACACTAGCCGTGCTTTAGTGATGCGCATTATTACGACATCAGTGTTTCGCCGATGCAGCGTGTTTGTGATTCCTGCGGCAGGCGTTGGATGGGATAGGGGTGTTGTTTGTTCGGATAGCTCACATTCCCCACCCGTAGATATGAATCGCTATCAGTGACTCACAGCGGTCAGACCTGTTCCTGTCCCAGAGCTGTAGGTGTAACCCAGGGTGAAACCAGTGCTGATGAGTCTGCTGAATACTAGGCACTGGGTTAGTGAGTCTCCTGGAGACCGAACACACACACACACTCGCATCTACTGACTCAGCTGTTCCCCTCCACTGAACATCATCCTGTTAGCATTTAGACAAGCTTATGTAAGCTGTTACTGCTTAGCCAGGCAATCTCTGTAAAAAGTCTGTGTGTGAGTGGTTTTGATTCAGTGTGATTGAATTCAAAATAACTAAAAGTAAAAACTCGCTTGGATTTGGAATTATAAGGGGTGTAACTAGACCCTCATGTCACGATACATATCACAAGACTGAACTCACGATACGATATTATTGCGATAATCCAAGATATATAATAAAATGTTAAAGGATTAGTTTACTTTTGAAAAAACTTTTGCTGATAATTTACTCGCCCCCATGTCATCCAAGATGTCCATGTCTTTCTTTCCTCAGTCGAAAAGAAATTAAGGTTTTTGATGAAAACATTCCAGGATTTTTCTCCATATAATGGACTTCAATGGGAACCGGATGGTTCAAGGTCCAAAAGACAGTTAATAACAGTTTCAGATGCAGCTTCAAATGTCTTTAAACGACACCAAACGATGAATAAGGGTCTTATCATGCGAAACGATCGGTTATTTCAAAACTTATTCCAAAAATGTAACTTTTCTAAGGACAAATGCTAGCCTTGCTATATTCTCTGAGGCGCGTTTGTAACGTCACGTAATACGGTCACGGGCGACGTAGCCGGAAGTACAGAATCAAAATCGTCCGACATCGTTGTTTTTCCTTTTAATTCCTTTTTTTGTAAACGGTGTTTGAGCTAGTTTGCACGTTCAACCTATGCGTTCAACTTGTAAACACTGACTCTGTACTTTCGGCTACGTCGCCCGTGACCTTTTGAACGTAATTACGTATTACGTGACGTTGCAAACGCGCCCCAGAGAATAGAGCAAGGCTAGCATTTGTCCTTAGAAAAGTTACATTTTTGGAATAAGTTTTGAAATAACCGATCGTTTCGCATGATAAGACCCTTATTCATCGTCTGATATCGTTTAAAGACATTTGAAGCTGCATCTGAAACAGTTATTAACTGTCTTTTGGACCTTGAACCATCCGGTTCCCATTGAA